TGGGCTATATAAATGAATAAGGGTAAAATCCGGTTCTGTGAGGCTTTCGTGGCCGATGAGGGCACGGCCGATGAGGGCACGACCGACGAGGACACCCTGGTTCCTTGGCTTCAGGATCATATTCTGAGTTGGTCCTTCTTCTGGCCGACGAGGGTCTTTGGCCGACGGGGGCACCGCGTAGTGACTGTGCTTTCTGTTCTGAGTATGTGGGTCCTGGGGCCTAGACCCATATACTCCATCAATACAGCTTTTTCACGAAATTATATTTTACTTAATTTTTTATGCTATCGTAATTCAAAAAATCTAAATTTTCTGTTTTTTTTTTTCATTTTAGTATTTTTAATTTCTTTCTATTTTCTTTATTCTATATCTATCTATATATATGTATGTGTGTGTATATATATATATAATACGGCGGCAACCCTTGCTGGGCCCATCGTCGTCTGCACCCACCATACTCCCGGTCACAACATTGTAGATTCCTTGTCTCCCCTTCATTTTGGGATTCATCTGTCTAGCCTTGAAATGGGCCTTCGGTTTCCACTTCACCGTGCCATATTGCATGTCATGGTCCACTATGGGGTCATCCCCGGTCAACTCACCCCCATGACGCATCTATTCATTGCCGGGTTCATAACCCGGTGTCTTTCTCTCAAAATTAGGCCAACCCTGGATCTATTCTTGACGTTCTTTCATTCGGCCCGGACCGGCGCTTCTGAAGCCCATGGATTTTTTTCAATCTCCCATAGGGCAGGCCACCGTTTGTTCGAAGTCAAGTCCTACCCGGATTCTTTTAAGAATTGGATGCACAAATGGGTGTGGGTGACTCCGGCGGATGGCAAGCTGCAACTTGAGAATAAATGGGGAGTGCTAATCCGGCGGTGGATCATGCCCATCCTGAATGAGGGGACGTACAACTGAGTATGCTGCAAAACTCATTGGTGAGGGTTCGCCTTTTTTTATGGGGCATTATGTAGGTGAGGATGAGGTGATTATGCTTACATTTTCATCAGGTCGGCAACACCCGATTTTGCATCTAGCTTATCTCTTTTACCTTCCTGCTTAATGACTGAGCTCTGATTTGTGTGTTTGTTTTTCTAATTCAGAGGGTGAGTAGATGGCTTACAGTCTTGAGCGCCTGGCTGCGAAGGCTGGTTCAACCCCGGGTCCCTTGGTTCCTGTTAGGAAGATCCAGACTCGGGGTGCTGTGGAGGCCGTCCCTGGAAAGTCCGGTGGGGGTTCACAAGGAGATGGCGTTGCGACTCTTTCAATGCCGGCTGCAGTCCTCCGGCCTTCTCTGACGAGGGGGGCCGGGAAGAGGTTGGCATCCCAGCCCATCTCCTTGCCCAAAGGGGAAGAAGTCTCGAGCTGCCAAGATCTCTGCGGGAACCGTTGTAGAAGTGGAGTCTGGCTCTCAGAGCCAATCCTTCGAGGGTGGCAGTCAGGGGGACGCCCCGGCACATCTCCACAAGATCCTTCTGTCCATGTGCTCCGATTCTGCCTCCCTATTCCGCCAAACGATTAATCCAGTCTCCCTGGCTCATGCTATTATTACCCCACCTGCTGACGCAGAGGAGATTGGCAATCTCTCTCCCCGGTCAGCTATACGGCGTGCAGTTCACTCCATCTCTGAGGTAACGCCCTTCTCCATCTCCAATGCCAATTCTTACTTTTATTGGGACTGTCTTTAATCCTTACAGCTTCCTATTTTAGGCTTTTGTCCTTGCTGCCTCAAGCTCTCGCCGTTTGGACGGGGAGCAAGAGGAGGCTCAAGGCCAGACCGACCGCCATAAGAAGGTGGTGGCGGATCTGGAGGCTGCCCGAGATGCCGCGATAAGGGAGGCCAAGGAGCTGCAGAAGAAATTGGACGATGATGCTGCTGCTGAAACAAAGCTGATGAGGAAGGTGGAGGAGGCTGGCCCTGCTGCTGTGCAAGCCTTTCGGGACGGTGAGACCTTTCGGGGGATGTGGAGCAGATAATTGCTGATCGTCGGGCTGAGATAGCTTTGGAGTGGTTATCAACTCCGGAGGGGGAGACGAAGTTGGATGAAGAGAGGACACTTTGCTTCTAGTTGGGTAGGTACGACATGCAGAAGGCCATCTACAAAGTCCTGCTTGGGAGAGACCCCTCCTTCACTGCTTCGTTCTGGGGTTTGCCCGAGCCAATGACCAATCTGAAAGCCCCCTTATCAGCCCTGCTCCAGAAGTTCCTCCTTCCCCTACCGATAATGAAATTTGAACTTTGGACATCTTGACATTTTAACAAACATCTTTTTCGGGCCTGCGTGCCCGTGGTTGTTTTCCACCAATGGGGTGGTGTGTAACAAACATCTTTACTCTTGCAAATATTTTATCATGCCTTTTTTTAGGTCCCGGTGGGCAAACCACCAAAATCGGTAGGGTAAATGCCGGGGAACATTTACCATGTTTTATTAAAATAGGGAAAATGATACAACAGAAGAGGGAGACAAGACCAAAACCTCTTCAGAGAAGGCATTCCTTCTCAAAATACAAAAAATAAAACAAAGAATAAAAAAGCAGACAAATTTTTTTTGGAGAGACTAGACCTTACCCAAAATTACAATTCAACAAAATCTAAAATAACTAAGTCCTAATTTATCAGCTATCAAAAAGCGTCGAATATAACATGTGACTTGTCTAATAGAGTCAAGTATAATAAAATCATCTAAAAAATGTTTAGCCAGTAAGTGCGTTGGCCAGTTGACCTCATGTAAGATATGTCAGAATCTTATCTCTTCGCCAACCATCCATCATCTCAACTCCATAACCGGCCTTCTCCACCTTCCAGCCAAATTGTAACACCCACAAATTCATACCTTAAATAGATGCTAATTATAGCAAGTATAGAAAGAATTTTCCAAAACACTTAATTCAAAAGAGTTTAAATTGCAGCGGAAGTCTAATATTCAATGGGTGTAACCGCCACATTCGATTCTCACACAACCGAATGCAAAGGCTAAACCACAATCCTAAATAACATAAGTACTAATTTCCAAAACTGAAAGTAAAAGAAACAACGACAAGTTCTGGAATTATGAAATTTTATTAATGTAACTAATAACTAATCTAGGTGAGCTACCGGACTCTCTTCATCAAGCATACTCTTCATCATCTGCACCAAATAAAGTGCAGAAAACAAAACAAAGAAAAGGAAACCAAAGTTAGCTTTTAAGCTAAGTAAGACCCACCCAACCCCGTAAAATAATATAGTTTGAAGAAAATATAATTGGTACTTAGTGTATAGATTCAAAAATCCATTTAGTTCCAAAAATACAATTTTCAAGTTTAAAATCACTTTCACCATTCAAAACAACCTTTGAGACTCGACAGAGTAGTTTATAAATACTTATTCATATGGATTTCATATTCTACTAAATACTTATCCACAATTAATTCTCAAAAACCATTTACTCTTCAATTCAAAAGTATTACCCATACTACACGAATACCCGGGTTGTCTACCAGTTCTATCATTATGAACACGTTGTTCATAGATTATTCCACTCCAAAGATCGTTATGAACTTGTAGTTCATAATTTACTCACAATTGCATTATGAACATAGAGTTCATAGATTACTCCACCTATCATTATGAACTCATGGTTCATAGATTACTCCACCGATCATTATGAACTTATGGTTCATAGATTACCCCACTTATCATTATGAACATATCGTTCATAGGTTACTCACACATCATTATGAACATGTAGTTCATAGATTGCACAAATATCATTTAGATTCAAAACACTTTCTCAAAATATCCTTTTTAAATTCATATCTCAAAATCATATGCCAATCATCTCCAATTCAAGGTCAAAGTTCACAAATTAGGGTTTACCAAAACTAGTTCCAAAATAATGTTTAATATCATGTTCAAAATAATCCAAAAAGGATATTTATAACTCCAGAATATGTATGTAAATGTTAATACCAAATTATACATTAAAAATATATAATTTGTCCCAAAAGATTTTATCTCACAACACTTTCCAAAAAGAGGGTTTAACCCAAACCACCACTTCCCAAAAGTAGCATTTACCACCACCACCAAAATAATCCGATTGGGGTATTCTAAACCCATAATAAATTTTCAATATAACCAATCAGAATAGTCTCAAATCATACTTCAACTTATACCAAAATAATCACCAAAATTTTCCAATCCCAAAAGAACAATCCTCAAAAATCACAATTTTAGCCATAACAAACTAATTTGATAAATTCACCATAAATCATACTCTCAAAAATTCCCAGAAAATCATACTTCATTATATTCATACTATAATAAACAAAATATTCATAAAATTTTAGAAAGAAACTCAAATCATAGCACAAACCCTAATTAATACATAATAGGGGCAAAATAGTAGTTTTGGTTGCAATAGTCCTTACCTCGAGGCTAGAAACGAATCCTAAATGTCAAACCTATCTTTATGGATCACTCACTCGTCCCTAGGAAGTTATAGGATCGAAGGATCTCAATTTAGGAGAAATAAATTAAGAAAATGGATGAACGACGCGAATTAGGCAACAAACGCACTTACCGGAAGATTGGATTGTTTGATCTCATCCTTGGAATCAAATTTATTGTTGGATATGTTAATATTGAAGGGATTGAAGAGATAGAGCTTGAAGAGGCGGTTCTAGGGTTTTTGGAATGAGTAAAATCAGATTAGGGATGTATTTATAGTGAATTTCCGAAGTTTGTGTCGCATTAGGATAAAACAGGGAGGCACGCCGTGCCTACCTTCCAGGCACGCCGTGCGTGGCTGGCAGTAGCTATTCCGCTTGATTTTCTTGCCACGCATGCCGTGCGTGACCCCGGGCGCCCAAAACCTTAGTTTTTGCTCCGTTTCTTCCCCGTTTGGACCTCCCCTTGATTCCAAACACTAAACCAAACATAATAAACCATCTAAAGACCATCTAAATGATATGAAACACAAATTTTAATATTTCCCAAATTCTCTCAAATTTTGGGGGTATTACAGATATCATCCATAGCCAAAATCACCTGCTGCGAATTGGATTCAATCTCAAAGGACCGATATCCCTTTCCAATAGCCCAAGAAACTGATCTATGTAACGCTATAAACTCTGCCTCCAAAGACGATGATGATGAGATATGAAAATGAAGAGCAAAGAGGAACTCCCCTGCCTTGGATCTCATAAACGCTCCTCTTGTTGCTCTACCGTCAAAGAAAGAGGCGTCAACATTAAGTTTATAATCTAACTCAGGTACAGTCCACTTTACTAGCTGTAGAACGGGTTTAGCAGACTTAAAGAATTTAGGTAAGAGATGTTCTTCGTAGAGAACAGGATCAGGAGACCCAACCTTAAGTTTAGAAAGTTTAACCTCTCACCATTCCCGGCAGAAAAACTTTATTTGTTGTATAACCAGTCTATAATCTGGGAGTATGTCTTCTTCGCCCCAGTTGATTTGACAGTAGACCTTCCATATGTGCCATGTTATAATTCCTGGATTGTTATGCTTGAAAAATATCCACTAAATCCTTAGATCCTACCTCCAGCCACCAGGACATGAATAATTGCCTAATTGATGAAGCCGCGGGCTCAGGAATCTAAAAAATACCCAAAAAAATACTTCCATATTTGTAGACTATATGAACAAGTAAAGAGAACATGATCCATCGTATCTGAGTCTCTTCTACATAGAGGACAGATAGTCGGGAAAAGAGTAAGCCTAAATCTGCTCAAATTATCAAGGCAAAATTCTATTAAGCATTTTCCATTGAAATAATTGGATGTTACTTTGTTGATGTTTGTTCAAGGCATGAGAGAATGAGAATATATCATTCCTTCTTCTTCTAACCACTTGAAAGGCTGATGAGATAGTGAACTTTCCATTCTGCTCAGGTAACCAAACAATCTCTTCATCCTGGTCCTGATAAATTAATGGTGCCTACTGGATGAATCTTACAAATTCTCTTCCAAACAACTGAATCAGTAGCCTTAGGAACCATGTCAAACCCCCTGGGATATCTAAAATGACAAAATTTGGCCCAATTAGAGTTATTACACCTCCATTTCCACCACAACTTGAGGAAATAGTTTTTTCAATATCATTCAATGAGCAAATTCCAAGGCCACCTTCTTATGTAGGCAAACATATGTCTCTCCATCTAATCCAATGGTACTTAGGTTTGTTCTTGTTTGCACCCCATAGAAAATGGGCCATTTTTTCCCAAAATTCTCACAACAGATTTAGGTAAAGAGTCCACTGCTAAAATATGAAGAGGAATAGTGTTCAATACATGCTTAATCAAAATGATTCTCCCTCCCCGATTAAGATTCCTTTGCTTCCATGTGGTCAGCTTCTTATCAAAAGCCTGAATAATACCTAGGCAATAACTCTTTCTGTTTGTACCTTTATGCAGGGCTGAGCCCAGATAATTCATTGGCAGGTTAATATTGGTCATACCTAAGAGTCTCTCCATCCTTCTGATTCTAGCAAGGGAGGTTTTCCCGCATCCAAAACTGCTCTTAGTAAAGTTGACAGTCTGCCCTGATGCTCTTTGATACAGCCCAAGAAACTTTTAAAATATTGAACAGATCTTGCCTCCCCATTCAAAAAAGTTATAATTTCATCCACAAAGCATAAATGTGAAACTGCCTGACCATATTGCCCAAGCCAGAATGGTTTGATGGAGTAAGAAGCCATAAGACTTTTCAATCCTCTAGATAAGGCCTCAGAAGCTAGAATAAAGAGAAAGGGTGACAGGGGATCCCTTTAGATGAACCATTTAGATGGTTGGAAAAACCCTTTAGATGAACCATTTATAAGGGCTGAGAAGTAAGTAGCCTTCAAATGGTTCATAACCAGAGTAATAAACCCATTTGAGAAACCAAATTTAGATAGAGTAGCATGTAAAAACCTCCAAGATATTCTATCGAAAGCTTTTGCCATATCTAACTTTACAATGAGATTAATGCCCCTAACCTTCTTATCCAGTGAGTTGATCATTTCTTGAGCCACAAGAATATGATCAGATATGCCTCTCACGTGCATGAACCCTGCCTGTTTATTAGAGATAAGCTTGGGCAGAATAGATGATAGTCTAGATGCTAAAATCTTGGTACAAACTTTACTAATGAAATTAGATAGACTGATTGGCCTGAGGTCAGCAAAAGTTGACACCTTATCTTTTTTGGGAATAAGCGCAATAAGTGAATTGCCATTGCCTTGGGAATGTGATTTCTTTGAAAGAAATCCTGAACAGCCCTAACGACATCCCAACAAACTACATCCCAACAATGTCTAAAGAAATTACCATTGTACCCATCCGGTGCAGGGGCACAATCTTTATTCAGACTCCATACAGCTTCCTTAACCTCCTGAATATTAGGCAAATTCATAAGCATCTCATTTTCATGATCTTCTACTAATTGTGGTATATATTATTGGAGATCTTCCATGTCCTTGACTTGTTCATCAAAAAAGACATTCTCGATGTATTCTTCTGCAGCCATACCAATAGAATCAGGGTCTGAACATAGATTGCCATTAGAGTCCTTTATAACAGATTAGTGTTGTCCTTTTAATATTGACATAAGCATGATAAAATTGGGTATTTAAATATCCATCTTTCAACCATTTCAAGTGAGCTCTTTGTTTCCAAAATTATCTCTCCTGCTTATGCTTATTGATTAACAGGGCTTGTTTAAAGGACCAGTTTTCTCTATTAATATCAGAAGGGTCAGACTCAAACAGTTTTTTGCATCAGCTACCTCCGCCTCCAGTTTTTTGACATAAGAAAAAAGATTCCCAAAAGTATTGGTATTACACAGCTTAAGAGTCTGTTTAAGAGCTTATGTTGATTGTTTGACTTGTTTTGTGATTCAGAATTCCTGAGGCCTTCCAGCCTTACTTTAGGTTGGTTTGCTTCCCTTGGACTCATGTAGTCTTTTGGGAGGTTCACATCTGCTTTTCCTTTCTTTTGAGACCTGTCCACCATAGGTTCCCCGTTTTGTGTGTTCACAACTGTCCTTACTTGTTTTTATGCCTTGAATTTATGGTCAAGGTCGTCTGTCCAATTTGAGGGAAGACTTTACCAATTCTTTAACCCTTAGGTTCTTATCAGTTGAACCAGATTGGGTGGGATTTTAATTCAGGTTATTTTATCCGTATGAGAAGCCTCTTGATTGGTGAGGCTTTGGGAGCCTCTCCGGTGCAAAGTTAATTCTCATATTTCATCTTTTGGCCTTATAAAATCAATCTTAACCTTGAGGAATATTGTCTTTTCCTGTTGTAGGAAATCTGATTTTGTTCACAAGATTGTTTAACCTTGAAAAAGGTTGTTTTATTCCCGCTCTCGTCTTTGGTAAGACTAAGTTGAGCTTCTAGAATTTTGGATGAGTCTGGAATTGTACTATGTCTTTTGCGAGTACCAGCTAGGCATGACCTTTATCCCCCCTTTTGCTGGTTAAGAAACCTTCGCAAGTGTTTTCAAATGTAAAGGACATTTGTGAACTAAAAACGAGACTTTTATTAAAAAAAATCCAAAAGAACTACTCCCTCCGTCCCAATTTGATTTGCAAAATTTCCTATTTTGGTTGTCCCAAAATGGTTTTCCACTTTCTATTTTAAGTATGTAAATAAGAATAGTGACAAATTTACCCTTACTTTTACTTTTTTTCTCATTAACTTAAAGGCATCTACTTTTAGAAAGATGGACAAAAATGTAAAAGGCAAACATCATTTATTGTCATTCCTTAATTCTTGTGCCGGTCAAAGTTTGCAATTCAATTCGGGACGGAGGGAGTACACACTTACTGGTAGAATTTCAATAAGTGCTCAGAGTTCCACACCCTGCCTAGCAGTAGTCTTTTTGGAGTACACAGTTTGTTGGTCATGGGCCCAACTATCCCCTTGACTCTGTAAGGCACTTCCCAATTCTTGGCAAACTTTCCACCCTCTAGAGGTTTGCTAGCAGATCTCCTTCTTAGGACTAAATCTCCGATGTCAAACAGTCTTGGTCTGACCTTGGCATCATGGTATTCTTTCACTTGTCACCTATAATTCTCAGCCCTGATGAAAGCTCTATCCCTTCTTTCTTCAATTAGGTGGAGCTCGGCTCTTAGCACCTACTCATTAGTTTCAGGGTTATAGTCTTTCACCCTTCTGCTTGGAACTATTGCTTCCAGTGGTGCCCGAGCCTCGAAACCATAAGTCAAAGCATAGGGAGTCTCACCAGTGGCCTTCCTTGTGGTTGTCCGATATGTCCAGAGTATGTTGTTTAATTCATCCACTAGGTTGTTCCCATGGACTCCAACTTCTTTTTGAGACCATCAACGATCGTTCTATTTGCATTTTCCACAAGCCCGTTGCACTGAGGGTAAGCAACAGACGCTCTATTGGCCGCAACTCCCCATTGCCCACAAAAGTCTTTGAAGGGTTCAGAGTCAAATTGTTTTCCATTATCAAAGATAATTTTCATTGGAATACCAAACTGGCAGAATATATTCCTCCGAACAAACCTCTTGCATTGTTCAGCAGTAATGGTGGCCATTGGTTCGGCCTCAACCCACTTAGTGAAATAACCAATAGCGACTATAAGGAACTTCCTACCTCCTGAGCCCTACGGGAGAGGATCCACGATATTGATTCTCTGCCTCAAGAAGGGGATGGCAGTGCTTATTGGGGTATATTAGGTAGCAGGCCTTCCCGGGCTTATCTGAAACTTCTGGTAGATCTCGCATTTCCGTGCGAAGTCGGCATAGTCCTATACCATATTTGGCTAAAAATACCCTTGCAAAATGACTTTTCTACTTAGAGTAAACACACCTTGGTGTGATGAACAAATCCCTGCGTGTATTTCTTTTATCACTTGTAGAGCTTGTTCTGGCCTTAGACACTTGAGGAGCACACCATTGTAACTTCTTTTACAGAGCTTTCCATCTTAGATGATGTAGCGTGAAGCCTGTGTCCTGATCACCCTTGTCTTTTCCTCGTCTGTGGGCAGTGTTCCATCGTCCTTATATTGTATTAGATTATCAATCCAACATTTAGGAGCATGACTGATTGGCAAGGCCTCCTGATCTTTGGTAACTTCGATGCTCGGCTTGCTTAACTCCTGCACCTGAGCTATGCGAATGAAGTGCTCAGGTGCATCTGTTGTTAGTTTTGACAGGATGTCTGCATCCCCATTTTGAGCTCGTGGAACACATATCAAGTCAGACTCTTCAAATTTCTTGATAAGCTCCAGGGTTGCATCCCTGTATCTTTGCATTCGTGCTTCTTTGGCTTCGTATTCCCCTCTAAACTGTTTGATTACCAATTTAGAATCACTTTTGACCCTCAGTTTTTGTACTTTGAAGTTACTCGCTATTTTGAGATTGGAGAGTAGGGCCTCGTACTCTGCCTCATTGTTTGACAGGGGGAACAAGTATCCAAGGACGTGATAGGTTTTGAAGCCTTCAGAGGGGATGAAGACTACCCCTCCTCCGCAACCTTTGGACCCTGAGGGTGATCCATCAGTCATCGGAGTCCACCAATCCTGTCATCCACATATGCCTCCATGTTTCTTCCCAGTACCGCTTGAAAGACCTTGGCCACCATTCAGGTATACGTTGCCCAGAATTCCGTAGCCCAAAAGACATTACCAGATAACAAAATACTCCTTCTGGGGTGATGAAGGAGGTATTCTCAACATCGTCGGGGTGCATGGAGATATGGTGGTATCCCTTGAATGCGTCCATGAATGAAAGGAGTTATCATCCAGCTGTTTGGTCCACCATTTGGACTGTACTCGGCAAAGGGAAAGGGTCAATTGGACAGGCCTTATTCAGATCTGTGTAATCTACGCACATTCTCCCAATCAGCGGCTTTGGGCCCAAGACCACGTTGGCTAGCCACTCTGGATATTGTACTTCTCTAATGTGCCTGATGCCCAACATCATGCTTATCTCCCCCTTTACAAATTCCTTTCGGTCTAGGGATAGATACCTTCGCTTTTGTTTTACGGGAGTTGCTTTCGGATCCACGTTTAGTCGGTGAGCAGCTATGCTATGGTCAAGCCCGAGCATATCCTCAGGTCCCCAAGCAAAGATCACCTTGGAATCCGTCAAAACCTACACTATTTTTTCTCTGAGGTCGATCGGAAGCCCCACACCAATCTTAACCTGACGTTCTGGCCGGGAAGGATCAACCCCGACCTCCTCGAGCTCTGAGATGGGCTGAGCTCTGAGTTGCCCTTCTTCATATTTCGACAAGTCTATTTCGATGGCGTTAATCCTCATATCATTCCTCCCGTTAGCCCTTCAGGCCCTCACATAGCAGCTTCGTGCCATCTTCTGGTCTCCCCTCATCGTGCTTATTCCGGCCGGTGTGTGAATTTTCATGCATAAGTGAGCCTAGGAGATGATGGCTCTGAGATCTTCAAGCAGAGGTCGGCCCAGGATGGCCTTATATACGCTTGGCAGACGTACTACAACATAATATGCTTCAATGATCCGCACGCATGGCTCTGATCCGAGCTGAACCTTGAGGTTAATTTGCCCTTCCGGTTCAATTACGTCTCTGGTAAAACCAGAGGGGGGGTCTTTACCGGTTTTAAGGCTTCCTTCTGGAGGTCGATTTCCAGAAAAGTATCCATGTACATTATGTTGACTGAGTTGCCATTGTCTATGAGAACCCTATGGACAATTGCGTCCATCACTTCCATCTTTACAACTAGAGCATCCCTATGAGGTGGAGGATAAGGTGAGAGGTCTTCATCTGCGAAAATGATAGATTCCCACTTCTGTTTTTTATCTATGGGAAGGCGGTTTATCTCTTCGATGAATAGCTAATGACTCCACTTCTTCCCACGGATGGATTTAGGGGGGGGGGGGGGGGGGGGGGACCGCCCCCCTTGGACTTTCAAATTTTTCCATTATATATGTAATATTTTCATACTTTAATTAGATATATATGTGTTCGCCCCCCTTAACTTTTAGTTTTAAAAATTAACATATAACCTTACATAATGTAATACTTAATTAGAGATTTAAAAGAAGAAATGTCTAAAATAATTTACATACTTAAGCAAATAAACAATCTAAGAGAACAACTCTGATCATTGTTTAAGACTTAGGATATTTATTATATAAAAATTCCTAGTTTTGTAATGTTTAGTTATCTTTATTAGATAGTTAGTACTCGATTTTGTAAAATAACAAATGATATTAACTTCTAGACACACTAGTTAAATAGTTTTTAGATCATGTGAGGTGAATCCAAAATAAATTTTTGTTGACTAATTTACACAATTCAACTATAAAATAAAATTTAATTATTTTTCCATTGTCTAAACCTAAAATGTAATAGGTTTATCAATACTTTGGTTTTCTATTTCTTACGATTTAATGTATCAATACTTTTTTTAGAACATTCCAATTATAAAATCAAAGTTATTTTATATTGTCTAAATTTAGAATGTAATAGTTTTAAATGTCATCGTGTATGTATTTATGATTTTTTTTATTAAAAAATAGATGCAGAGCCCTATACTAGCAAAAACAAATCATCCCTCTACACTAGCGAAATAAAAGTCTCGGCGCTCTACTAGTGAAAAATTTTCACCCCTACTACACTCATGAAAAAGTTTCACCCCCCCTTGACCATAAATCATGGATCTGTCCCTGCTTCTTCCTCTCCCCTGTGGTGTCTCCTCCCACAGGTCCACCGTAGATCTGGTTGACATGTGGGTGTTTTTGCCGGCCTGAATCTTCCCCTTCCTCATCATCCTCGAACTGGGCTCCGGCCTCCCTCTTCTTAGAGGTCGAGGTCGGCTCGTCTTTTCTCCTGCTCCAGGTATTCGTCTTTTGAGGGGCATGTCCCTGCCATCTCCTTTTTACAAACTGATCCAACTGCCCTTCACAGATGAGCCTTTCCATGTACTTTTTAAGGACATAAAGTCGTCAGTTTCGTGAGTATCGCTCTTGTGGAGTTTGCAATACTTACCTCGAGTGGCTTGGTTGTTGACAACGTTGCAGTTCTCAGGGATTGTTATCAAACCTTGTTTAATTTGGCCGCATAATCCATGACAGTGCTGACCGAATGTGTCATAGCTCAAAACTCTGGTTGGCCGGATAGAGGTCCATCGGGGACACCCGATTTGTTCTTTCCCCAACCTTTCTTCTTTCTTTGGGACCCACTCCCTTTGTCTTCGTCGTGGGTTTCCTTTTCTGAACTCTTTATCTTTCCATCTTCAGGTTGGTGCTTTCCTTCCTCCTCTTCTCTCTTCCGCTTTCAGCCTCTTCCACGTGCCAGCTTGCCGCAAGGCCTCCTCGTGTGAGGTCGGGGGACGCCGTACAAACTCCTTTTACAACTCACCCAACCTCAAGGCATTGGTCAGAATGGCGACGACGTATCTGTCATCGAGGGCACCCACCTTCACCGATTCATCCCTACGATGAGCTAGGAAGGCGACTATGCTTTCATGGCGTCCTTGTCTGACTCCCAGGAGGTGAGAGAAGTGTTTCTTGGAATCGTTGGAGCTGACAAATTGTGCTATGAACGCTTGGTCTAACTCCAGGAAACTCCTGATCCTTCCGTCAGGTAGGGAATTGTACCATTCTTGGGCTTGCCCATCCAATGTCACCAAGAATCCTCTGCACCTGATTGCATCCTTGTATCCCATCATCACCATGTAGGCCATGTACCTAGAGACGTGATGCTGGGGTTCGGTCTTCCCCCGATAAGCCTCGATGTTACAAAGCTTATACCCTTGTGGCAGTGCGGCATCCATAATCTGGTGGATGAATGGCTCAGAAATTCTCACATCATGGTTGAGGGTAACCCGAACATCTACCACCCTCCTGAGCTCGTCTAGACTCTTGCTGAGGTCATCGTCATCATGGCCTGTCCGAGCATGGGGTGGAGAAGGGCGATCTTCGGGGGCCCGCTGATTCACATTAATCCCATTCCAAAGATCTCCCCCACGCGCATTGCGATGATGGGAAAAGACAGCCACAGAGGATGCCTCCTCACTTCGTTCCGCCCGGGAGGAGAGCCTGTGATGCACAGATCAGAGACCCTTCATCCTCCAACCCTATTCATCATCGAGGTTCTCAAGGACTTCCTGGAATGATGAGATCGTTGAGACCTTGCAGGTGGAGAATTCCTCTGCCGCTGTGCAGATACCTCCTCGTTCCACGGGGAAACAAATGGAGACCGACGCGGACACAGAGGTCTTCCATTCGTATTGGGAACAATTCCTAGGAAAGCAGTGGTTAATGTTTCCACGACCCTCTGGAACGTAACCAAACTCGCCAAGGCTTGCGCTGGATCTATGTTGGGAATGAGGTTCCCGGTGGCCGGCATCTAGAACTGTGGCGGACGCGTCGTCGGACTCATGGAACTCCCAACGCCTTGCAATTGGTTCCTCAAGTGACCCTGAGCCACCACGAATTTACATTCCTCCTCCGGAAATCTCTTCATCGTGACCTAGATCCTTCGTCTTCGATCATGACTTGATCAAAACGTGCACCACCTTGATTGCTACCAACACGGTTGTGACTGTGTGATCCAACAATCGTTACCGTAGATCGTTCTCTCAATGAGAGCACCAAATGATGGAGTTTAATCCAACTACGAGATCTATATCTACGAGAACAGGTGAAATTTAGGCAGTGTTAGCAGCATTATTAATCCAGAATTCGGCCCTTTGATAGGATGCACATATGAAGTATTTATAGACCCTAGGTACTAGTATTCTAGGAGGAAACCGATACATTAAATGCTATAAATTGCATAAGAGTATGATAACGTCTTGGCCGTTGTGCAATGGTTGATTCCCTTAGGTCCACGTTTCTTCCGTTATTCCCGCCTGCTGCCAGATAGCTATGCACGAATGATTGCCGGCCATATAAGCCCTAGGAAGAGTGCGACCATGCTAGAACTTCGCCCAGGCTCGAGGTCTGCTGTCCAACCTGGCCTGGTTGTGGGTTTCTTTTGCGGGTGGAGTTCCTAGGTAGGCCTAGCGGCTATTTAATATTAATCCCGTTTATGGGCTGATCCCGTAGAGGGCTAATCTTGTTTAAAGGCTAATCCCGTTTATGGGCTGATCTCATAGAGGGCTAATCCTGTTTAAAGGCTAATCCCGTTTAAGGGCTTTTACTATAATCCCGTATTTGGGCCATGGCTGCAGTCAATGGTACCATCAAAGCTTAAAACATTAATTAGTTCTAAGATTATTATAATTGTGTGTTATCTTACATTATTAGTGAAGTTCAAAATTCAGATTAGTGAGATCATTGAGATTATTAATATGCTGAAGTTATTTTTGTATAATCTCTAAAATTGAGATTAGTGAAGTTAAAATTTAGTTTCTCTAATATGTATGGTTGGGAAATATTGAGAAGTGACTTTGACTTTTTTATAAGGGAGATTTACCTTGACAGGACTAAAACTCATTTTTTTTCAAGAATAGAACAAGTACTTTTAACTTCTTTAAATATGGTTTCTTATTTGTGATTGGATAAAAATACCCTTTTAGGGTTAGAGTTGCTTCCCCAGGTCTTCGGAACCCTGCCTGCCGCCGGTTGCCTCCGCCAACCACGGGCCACCAGACCGCTGAAAAGTCCTCCATTGAGTGACCAAAAATCCGCCGCCACCACCGAAGTTTGTTGTCACCATCACAAACTGATCTTGCCACCAATGGACTTCTTTGGTTATGCAAGGAAAACTAGCTAGGGAGCAAATAATTAGGTTAATTGATAAACTTAAATTAGGGCAGAAATGTAATGCTTAGTCCTCTTTAGAGAAAACCACACTAATGATCCTATTTTTGGAATAAGCCTACGCTTTAGTATTACTTTAGGAATTTTTCTCTTTTAAAAAATGCTTACAACATTTGTTTAATACTCTGTATTACATTTACTTCTCATAGTCGGGAGGGTTCTTATGAGAATCTCTTTGAGAGCTCAATTTAAAATGAAATCTTATAATCTCCATCTTTTGTTTTTATAATCAATGTTTAATATTGACAATGTGACGTTTTGAAATTATTTAGGAATAATTGTAGAAAAACCACTTGAATTTAGGATAATTATGAATATGACCCTATGTAAATATTAATCAATAATTGCAATAAATGAAGTATTGCGATTAAGAATTCCCACTAAAAACCTCCCCTACTTTTCATATATAAATATCTTATTTAGTAGGAGTATTTCGTATTGTTTCACAAAACTCTATTATAATGTAACCCTCTAAATGGAATATGACAATTCAAACAACTAATAGAGAAACAAGAGAGTAAAAAATACGGGGAAAATAATTTAAATATCCCAAACATTGAAGGGGTGTGAGCTCACTTGCACATGTAATATATATACCCCAAATTTTAAAATTATGAGGATACGATTAGAATTAGATTGCACAAGATGTAATATTAGTTATTTCATAAATGATTTTTTAGAATGTTTAAGTGCATCATATCCAAACAAAGCCTAGAGTATTTGAAATTATTTTCTTATCGCAATAAATTTATATTAGTAAAAAAAATATAATCATGATGCAAACATAACTTTTATACGTAGTATAAAGTTCGGGGTAAGTATATTGCATATGCAAGTTTGAGATATATATTTATCTCACACACCTTCAAAGTTTGAGATATTTATATTATTTTTTCCAAAAACAACGAGGTTGACTAAATAAAAACTATGGTAGGTGGAGGATTCATAAACATAGAATCAATCTTTGTAATGGACGCAAAATAAAAAACTTAATTGAGTACATGCATGCGATTAAGGTTTATTTTGAGTTTAATTACAATTACTTTCTCTTCAAAAAAATACACCTACTTTATTTCATAAGTTAAATGTCAAAGCATTTCAATATTTTCTTCATTTGGATACGACATTATACTATGAGCTAACTGCTTAAACGTTTAGAACATTTAAAATAGTTTCATGATTAAATTTTTAGCCTCCTATAGTGTTCAGCATAAAACTATTACATTAAAAAAATCACTAACATCTTTTTTATAGCAAAATCATTGACATCTAATAACTTAAATAAGGGGTTCACACTGGACTGTTATTGAAAGTCCAATTTTATGATATGAATAGTTATACGTTGCAATCAAATTTCTAAAAATCCTAAACAATCGAAATTATAAAAATTCCAAGTTTTAATAGTGATGGTCAATGATTCAGTTGTCATATCGATCACAAATATGAAGTTCATTTTACGTAAACTAAAAAAATCCTCTCACAAATTATATGATAAAATACTGTGTGAATATGACAAAAGTTTATTATACGAATAAACTTCTCTCAAATATTATTCTCCCGTGCATTGCACGGAAAATAAACTAGTATTATACAATTAAGAGTTACATTGATTAAATCATATTGTCACACGTCATTCAATTACTCATTTATGGTCACATGTTATTCTATTACTCATTTATGACCACATGTCACTATATTAGCCGTTGATTCACATAATATAATAAACCGCCTTAATTGCAATTGTTTTCATTTTGCCATTTATTTATAGGTGACACGGTGATATATGTATGTGTGTATGTATGTATATATATATATATATGTATGTATATATGCGTACATAGATTGAGTATATTATTTAATATATATTCACACTTGTTAAATATAACTATATCGGTCATCAGGTTGTCTTCAAAAGTTTACAATTTGTCTTCAATTTTATTGAGTGGCTTAAACATTACTATTTACCTTATGTTTTCTCTACAATATGTTCACTTCAAATAATAACATAATCAAAGAGAGACAATAATTTTTTTTACCAACTGATAGATTAATTATCTAGAGAGAAGAGAGAGCTAGAGAGATAAAGTGATATATATAATGAATTTTCCACCCTTTACATGACTCCCTTAGGGAGTATTTATAGGAGAAAAGTGGGCTGGGCTCCCAGGCTTGGGCCTGGAAGGCCCATTTACAATAAAAGGCCAATAAATGGCTAACAAATGGTATTTAATCTATTCTAACGGGTATACATGAATAAAATAGAGTGTACAATGAAATAAATGCTATCTACTGAGCGTATGTGGGCCGCTGCCCGGGCCCAATAGTCGTGAGACCCGGGGGTCCGAGTCTATATACTCTATCATGAGTCCCCCACTCTCTGAGTCGAGAGTATTCGAGGCGAAAGAGAGTAGAACTGTGTGCTGATCTGTCGTCGTCTGGTGAGTAAACTTCGTGAACAAAAATTTGAATTTCTGCTTCTTTGGTTAACGGAGGCGCTAAGTCCCCCGCTCTTCCAGTCCCCCACTCCTTGAGGCGAGTGTAATGAGGTGAAGAGGAGTAGAGTAATGCGTGTCGGATGATGTCTTCAACAGGGGGCCGAGGGTTGACACCTTTTGATCCACGATGGGGAGATGCCTCGTTAAAAACCTCATTAGGAAAAACCCTGTGGGAAAAAATCCTAATGAGGGAAAAAGAGTACACCGGATGCCCCCAAAATGAAACAAAAGGTGCGAGCCCTTCGGCCTGGAGATGGAGCTGTAGCGGTGCCCGTCTGCTGGATGGTCGAGGCCGATCTCTAGATGTGGGTAGCTCATCATGATCAGTAGTCCTAGTCATCAAATAAAGATGACTAAGGGATGGGTCGAGCGACCGTCCACAATATGATGTCTGGTTCATCAAATAAAGATGACCAGAACGTAAGGCCGATGGGCCGAGAGGCCTGTACGAGAGCTCCACGTTGTCAAATAAAGACGACGAGGCGATGGTGCGGCCGAGGGGCCTGCATAAGAGCTCCAAGTCGTCAAATAAAGACGACGGGGCGATGGTGCGGCCGAGGGGCCTGCATAAGAGCTCCACGTCGTCAAATAAAGACGACAGGGCGATGGTGCAGCCGAGGGGCCTGCATAAGAGCTCCACATCGTCAAATAAAGACGACGGGGCAATGGTATGGCTCAGAGGCCTGCATAAGAGCTCCACGTCGTCAAATAAAGACGACGGGGCGATGGTGCGGCCGAGGGGCCTGCATAAGAGCTCCACGTCGTCAAATAAAGACGACGGGGCGATGGTGCGGCCGAGAGAGGCCTATATGAGAGCTCCACGTCATCACATAAAGATGACGGGGTGATGTATGGCTCAGAGGCCTATATGCGAGCGCCATGTCATCAAATAAAGATGACGGAGCGAGATATGGCCGATGGGCCTGTAAATGAGCTTCACGTCATCAAATAAAGATGACGAGGCGATATATGCCCGATGGGCCTGCAACTGAGCTTCGCGTCATCAAATAAAGATGACGGAGCAAGATGTGGCTCAGAGGCCTACAAATGAGTTCCTCGTCATCAAATAAAGATGACAGAACGATATGTGGCCGATGGTCCTGTAGATGAGCTATTCGTCATTAAATAAAGATGACAGAGCGATATATGGCCGATGGACCTACAAATGAGCTCTTCATCATCAAATAAAGATGACAGAGGATATGGCCGATGGGCCTGCAAATGAGCTTCGCGTCATCAACTAAAGATGACAGAGCGATGTATGGCCGATGGGCCTGCAAATGAGCTTCGCGTCATCAAATAAAGATGACGGAGCGATATATGGCTGAACTCTGGGCTCCTTTAGCCTTTCGGTCGGAGACCACAAGATGTTCGCTATATCTGAATAGGGGGACGAGGCGGTGGACGCCTGTCTGAATATGAGGACGACGACGCTGATGAGTCGGTCCGAATATGAGGACGACAGCGCTGACGAACCGGTCCGAATATGGGGACGAGGCGATGATAAGCCATGCGTCATATGAAGGCGACAGTCACCATCAAGGAAGGGAATGGCGAGCCTGGTCGCTAGATAAGGACTTCGGCGCTGGGGCCGGTCTAAATGTGAGGACGGAGCGATGATGAGCCGTGCGTCATATAGGGGCGACGGTCGTCGTCCGGGAAGGGATGGCGAGCCCAATCGCTATAACAAGACTTCGGCGTTGGGAGCCGGTCTTGAGATAAACAATCACGTCGAGGCCGAGAGGCTGATCGTGGTGTGCGGACAACAATAATGAGCCAGTCCGAAATATGATGACAAGGCGATGATGGAGCCGATCGTCATATAGAGGCGATAGTCACCATCCAGGAGGGGATGGCGAGCCTGATCGCTAGCCCAACACATTCGGCGCTGATGAAGCCGGTGTTGGGATAGGGTGTGACGTCGTGGCCGAGGGGCCGATCGTGATGTGAGGTCGTCAGCACTATGAGGCTGATCCAAAAGTCCAAGCAGCGGTCGCCATCTGATGAAGGAATGATTGAGACCGGTCTTGGGGATAAATAATCACGTCGAGGCCAAGGGGGTCGATCGTTATATGAGGACGACGACGATGAGGAGTCGGTCTAAATAATGATGACAAGGCGATGGTGAAGCCGATCGTCATATAGAGGCGATGGTCACCATCCGTGAAGGGATGATGAGCCCGATCGCCAGCTCAAGACTCTCGGCGCTGAGGAAGCCGGTCTTGAGATAGATAGTCACGCCGAGGCTGAGGGGCCGTTCGTGATGCGCGGATGGCGATGAAAAGAGCCAATCCGAAATATGATGACGGGGCAATGATGAAGCCAATCGTCATATAAGGGCGATGGTCACCATCCAGGAAGGGATGGCGAGCCCGATCGCTAGCTCAAGACTCTCGGCGCTGAGGAAGCCGGTCTTGAGATAGATAATCACGCCGAGGCCGAGGGGGTCGGTCGTGATATGAGGACGACGACGATGAGGAGTCGATCCTATAATATGATGACGAGGCGCTGATGAAGCCGATCGTCATATAAAGGCGATGGTCACCATCCGGGAAGGGATGGCGAGCCCGATCGCTAGCTCAAGACTCGCGACGCTGAGGAAGCCGGTCTTGAGATAGATAATCACGCCGAGGCCGAGGGGGTCGGTCGTGATATGAGGACGACGATGATGAGGAGTCGATCCTATAATATGATGACGAGGCGCTGATGAAGCCGATCGTCATATAAAGGCGATGGTCACCATCCGGGAAGGGATGGCGAGCCCGATCGCTAGCTCAAGACTCGCGGCGCTGAGGGAGCCGGTCTTGAGATAGATAATCACGCCGAGGCCGAGGGGGTCGGTCGTGATATGAGGACGACGGCACTGACGGGCCGGTCCGAAGATCCATGCAACGGTCGCCATCCGGGAAGGGATGACTAAGACCGGTCTCGAGATAAATAATCACGTCGAGGCCGAGGGGGCCGGTCGTGATATGAGGACGAAGGCACTGAGGGGCCGGTCCGAAGATCCATGCAACGGTCGCCATCCGGGAAGGGATGACTAAGACCGGTCTCGAGATAAATAATCACGTCGAGGCCGAGGGGGTCGATCATGATATGAGGATGACGACGATGAGGAGTCGGTCCAAATAATGATGACAAGGCGATGGTGAAGCCGATCGTCATATAGAGGCGATGGTCACCATCCGGGAAGGGATGATGAGCCCGATCGCCAGCTCAAGACTCGCGGCGCTGAGGAAGCCGGTCTTGAGATAGATGATCACGCCGAGGCCGAGGGGCCGGTCGTGATGTGAGGACAACGGCGATGAGGAGCCGGTCCTATAATGAGGGACGACGCTGGGCGCTCGTCTGAGAAATGATGGACGGCGCTGGGCGCTCGTCTGAAAATGAGGGACGACGCTGGGCGCTCGTCTAAAAAATGAAGGACGGCGCTGGGCGCTCGTCTAAGAATGAAGGACGGCGATGGGCGCTCGTCTAAGATGAGGGACGACGCTGGTCGCTCGTCTAAGATGATGGACGGCGCTGGGCGCTCGTCTGAGATGATGGACGGCGTTGGGCGCTCGTCTGAAAATGAGGGACGGCGCTGGGCGCTCGTCTAAAAATGATGGACGGCGCTGTGCGCTCGTCTAAAAATGAAGGACGACGCTGGGCGCTTGTCTAAGATGAGGGGCGGCGCTGGGCGCTCGTCTAAAGATGAAGGACGGCGCTGGGCGCTCGTCTAAGGATGAAGGACGGCGCTGGGCGCTCGTCTAAGGATGAAGGACGGCGCTGGGTGCTCGTCTGAAAATGAGGGACGGCGTTGGGCGCTCGTCTACAAATGAAGGACGACGTTGGGCGCTCGTTTAAGGATGAAAAACGGCGCTGGGCGCTCGTCTGAAAATGAGGGACGCCGCTGGGCGCTCGTCTACAAATGGAAGACGGCGCTGGGCGCTCGTCTAAGATGATGGACGGCGCTGGGCGCTCGTCTAAGATGATGGACGACGCTGGGCGCTCGTCTACAAATGGAAGACGGCGCTGGGCGCTCGTCTAAGATGATGGACGGCGCTGGGCGCTCGTCTAAGATGGTGGACGACGCTGAGCGCTCATCTGAAAATGAGGGACGGCGCTGGGCGCTCGTCTACCAATGAAGGACGGCGCTGGGCGCTCGTCTAAGAATGAAGGACGGCGCTGGGCACTCGTCTAAGATGAGGGACGGCGCTGGGCGCTCATCTAAGATGAGGGACGGCGCTGGGCGCTCGTCTAAAAAATGAAGGACGGCGTTGGGCGCTCGTCTAAGAATGAAGGACGGCGATGGGCGCTCGTCTAAGAATGAAGCACGGCACTGGGCGCTCGTCTAAGATGAGGGACGGCGCTGGGCGCTCGTCTAAGAATGAAGGACGGCGCTGGGCGCTCGTCTGAAAATGAGGGACGGCGTTGGGCGCTCGTCTACAAATGGAGGACGGCGCTGGGCGCTCGTCTAAGATGATGGACGGCGCTGGGCGCTCGTCTGAAGATGAGGGACGGCGCTGGGCGCTCGTCTAAGATGAGGGACGGCGCTGGGCGCTCGTCTAATCCGCATGTATGGTCTTGCTTCGTCCATAATGTGTAGTATTTGCCTGGTATGTACTTATTATTGTTGTGGGGATTTCATTTTTTATTGCTCGAGGACGGCGAGTGCGCGTGGTCCTCGGCTTCCCTCTTTTATTTTTTCTTTTTCCTTTTCTTTTCTTTTTTGTTATTTCCGTTTCCGTTCCCTATTTCGGGGAGTATCCTTCTTTCAGGCTTCGGCTGAAGGGTGTGCTCGTCCTTCGGCCGGTTCGGACTTCGTTTATAATGTCCGTGATCTCAGGGGGGTCCCGTCGCCTATTTATGACGCGGGCTAGACTTTTGGTTGGTTTCCAACGGCTGCCGTTGCCCATCCCTGAGTTTTGGGATTTTGTCACCTCGGCCATGATTTCAGGCCTGTCGTCCTGCGATCTGGCGCGTGGACGGCGCGGTGAGCTTCCCGTTTCAAGACGTGGGCCGTTTGCGGGCCCCTCGTCCTGGGGACAATGTCGGCCATACCTGAGCGTTTCACTCTAGGCTTACGGGGCCAGGACGATGTGCTCTCTCAGCTAGGCCTGAGCCCTTCGCTGATACAAAATACAAAGTGGAGCAGACCTGAGTCTTTCGCTCGAAGCCTGCTGATACGACACGTGGTATCTTCTATTTACATTTCCAAAAAATAAGCGGAATACAATAGGTGTGTTGTTCATGGCAACGGCTTTTGGGCGACGCGATTAGCGTCTCGGAGAACGAGGTGTACCGTTTACCGCTCTCGGGCATAATTCCATGTGCGGCCGGTAGCGGCCCTCATTTTTAGATGCCCGAGTCACCAAATAAAGGTGGCTAGGGTAGGTCGAGGGACCCAAATATAATTAAAATCATCATATAAAGATGTTCAGTAGACTAGAGCTTGGGTTGCACCATTTTGGGGATTTTAACCGGCATCAAAGGTGGTCAAAATAATCACAGTAGTAATTTTTATTATTACTTCATTTTTCTTTTGAATAGTTAATAAAACCATTTTTTTTTGAATAGTAGTAAAACTATTTTGCTCCATACTTAATGCATAAAGTAGGAGGGAAATTTAGTGGCACTTACCTCTTATTTGGGCCGGGTAAATGGACCTCTGATGAGAAATCCTGGACTCCGTGTAGTCTTGGCCCGTCAACTTTAGTTTAGCCCTGGCCCAGTGCCTTTTAATTTCCGGCCACAGAACCTGCTGCGATGAGGATCGGGAGAGACAAAGGAGATGGTTCGTTCCTGCCACTGAGAGAGAAACCTCCCACCGTTGCCAGACCATGGGACTTATGCCTACTGTAATCGCCGATGTGGCTATCCTGGAGCGAAGCGACGAACGCCGAGGAGGAGCCTTCCTGGCCTAGGAGATGCTCTGGTCGTGGGAGAGGACGATTTCCAGACTGTTGACGCCTTCCTGCCGTGTGTGGCCGATGGGCTACCGTCCCACAGAGGTAGCACCGGGAGCCAAATATTGATGACAGACACTGGTGACAGATGCTGAGGCGACCTCCGGCCCCAGCCGGAGCGTGATGTTTGACCGGGGTGAACCCATTTTGGCCAATGCGAGACTTCGCTGAGGGATGGACGGGTGACCCTGGACGAAGGAGGTGTAGCTCCCTCCGCCGATGGTGCACCTTTGGCCGATGGGTCCTCCCGATGGCCGATGACTTACTGTTGGCCGAAGACGCAGTCGGCCGATGGTGTTGGACTGGCCGAAGGGGTGTCGTTCTCTCCTCTGTCCAGGTTTGACCGAAGGGCACTACGTGGTGATGGGGCCGTTACGGACGGCAGAGATCGAGTGGAGCTTTCCTTTACCGAGGGAACTGCCGCTCCTCTGTTCGAGACAAGGCTGTTGTGCACAGTTTGGGCTGTTGAGGCCGAAGAGAAGTTATCTACCTGCTCGGGAGAGGGCCCCATTTGGCCAAGGGTGGAACATTATGATGGGCTGCCGGACGAGGGGTGGCAGAACTTTACTCCCTTTGTTCAGTTCTGGCCGATGAATTTCTGGCCGACGGCGTTACCGGCCGAGGCGTTGCTGTCCAATGGCGTACAGGCCGATGTGTTCCGGCTGACGGTGTAACGGCCGATGTGTGCCGGCCTGCCGGCCGATGGGATGCCAGCCATGGTGTGCCGGTCGATGAGGTGTTTTCTTTTCTTGCTTGGCCGTTGTGTATCTTCTGGCCGACGTGTGATTTCTGGCCGGCAGGATTGCTGGCCGATGATGGTGTTGCTTGGCCGAAGTGGAACGCGACTGTAGTATCATTCCCTCTTTCTAGGTATGGCCGAGGAATGAGGGAGCAGATGGGGGCCGTTGCGGACGAGGGGCGCTGACTTTTCCTTGGCCGAAGGGACTGCCCTTCCTCTGTTTCAGCCGTTATTTTCTTTTGTTTGAATTCTGGCAGTTGCGGAGTGCTGGCCGAAGGATCCGCCATTCGGGGCCGACGGTAACCAAAGGTGATGGAATGGATGAGGGTCCTGCTCTGGACGACTGCTCCGCGCTTCGGCGCCAAAGGTAACCAGGGATGACGGGATGGACGAGGGTCCACCGAATTTCCTAATTGGTCTGGCCGAGGGACGCCGTGTGATGGTGGAGCCAACGTGGACGATGGGCACTAAAGATCTCTCCTTGGCCGAAGGGACTGCTGCCAAGGTGGTTGAGGCCAGTGCTCTTAGATGAGGAAGTTGTTCTTTCCTTGTTTGGGTGAAGCACTTGATGGTCCACCTTATGGCCGGTCATTGGACGAAGGGCTGCCACCAACTTTCTTTCCATGCCTCTTTTTTGTTTGATTTTGGCCAAGGTAGGAGCTGTTGGCCGTGGGATAGTTTGAACCTTTGGTGGATGGGGTGACCAGTCTTATGATTACTTATTTCCTGGCCATCATTTACCATACACGTGCTTCCTTAGGCCGAAGTGTGAAGCTCCTATGATTGTGATTTTGGCAGACATCTGAGCAGAGCGAATTGCTGCTTCGCGGAAGGCCCAAGCTAGGGCCGAAGTGTTGTCACTGAGGTGTTATTGGTTGGGAGGATCTCACTTGATTTGCTCTAGCTCTCAATGAAAGCACCATTTGATAGATTAATTATCTAGAGAAAAGAGAGAGCTAGAGAGATAAAGTGATATATATAATGAATTTTCCACCCTTTACATGACTCCCTTAGGGAGTATTTATAGGAGAAAAGTGGGCTGCGCTCCCAGGCCTTTGCCTGGAAGGCCCATTTACAATAAAAGTCCAATAAATGGCTAACAAATGGTATTTAATCTATTCTAACGGATATACATGAATAAAATAGAGTGTACAATGAAATAAATGCTATCTACTGAGCGTATGTGGGCCGCTGCCCGGGCCCAATAGTCGTGAGACCCGGGGGTCCGAGTCTATATACTCTATCACCTACTATCACTTGTTAATCAAGAATAATATGTATTTTAGAAAAGATGTTTAATAACATCAACTATTTGAATATACAATAAACGTGATACAAATTACAGTTATATTTCACTAGAAATTTAGTGATTTAACTTATCAAGAACTAATATCAAAATATCAAGTACGTCATATCATTTCGAAATAACCTTTTGTTAATAGTTCGATATCGATTTGTGATGTCTTATGATTGAATTTCTAATCAGAAAGTGGGTCCATATTATTTTATCATATATTCAAATAATTTTCATTATTAAAAATTAATTATAAAATGTGTTATTATTGATCTATATCTATATATTATACAATTGGGAGTCACATTATATTAATGATATTGTCATGGGTCACTTTATTATTTACTCTTGGTCACATGTCACTACAATATTTATTCATATTTAAAAGTTAATAACGTATTTATAATAAGTATAGATATGGATGATAGGAAATGATGTTAGGATTTTTTTAAAAAATATGATGTTTGGAATATAATAATTGCCGTTTAAAATCTAATAAATTAGTTGTTTCCATTTAGGCGTTTATATTATAAGCCATTAGTTGTTACCATTTACCCATTTAGTATTATAATAAATATAGATTCAATATAATAGTTTATAAAGCAATTGTCAAAGTTTAGGAACGTTTCAACATATTAATTTATGAGTAATACATAATTGATTGGTATTACACTCAGAGTATACATATGCATTTACTTGCCTAATATAAAGATGTTTGATTGCTTTCGTATACATTATTCACAATTCATATTACTCCCTCCGTCCCGCTAATTAGATTGTGTGATCTTTCCTTTTCGATCCGTCCACTAACATTGTCTGATACCAAATTTGGTAAATTTTATGTGTCATAAATCTTTCTGACTTGATCTTTTTTTTTTGTACTCCAAGGGGCGCTGGGGGAGGGGGCTGGGGGCCTGGAGTAATCAGGGCTGAAACTCACTTCATTAAGTTTCAAACCCTTATGTGCCTATCGAGTTTCAATTTCAGACCTCCCACTAAGCACGGTAACCTCACAACCGGTGGTCATAAATCTTTCTTGATCAATTCAATTGTTCAATGTCAAGCACATAAACTCATATTTCATAATAACCACATAACCTCTTCATGTCCCAATATGTCCCAATGTTAGCGAGACTGAGAGCTAGATAGTATAATATAGAATACATATACTATATTATACTATATAGTAAATGGATATATACTTTTTACTTTCAATTTTCTGCCATGCTTAGATTTGACTTTGAAAATAGGCTAATCAATAAAATTACATAGAGATAATTGATTTTATCTGTTAATAGATAATTGCAAATAAAACAATCTAAAATTGATTCAAAAGACCTTATACTACTACTTATCTATACTTCTTATAAAAAAGAATTTATTTGGAGAAGTTTAAAACATTAGTCCTAACGCTTAAGTTATTACAATATAGTGTTGTTATTATTGTGTATTATCACATGATTCATTTTCTCAAAATTATTAATGAGCTGATATTGTTTCTTTCAAAAAATAAGTTGATGTTGTTTTTTTCATAAAAAATAAGTTGATATTAGTTTGTACCATCCCTAGAAATGAGATTAGTAGTGTTAACATTTCAGTTTTTCTAATATATGTGGGATTGGGGAATATTGAATATAAACATTAATATTTTTAATACAGTACCAAAGTTTGGTTACTATTACTTTTACTTCTCGCATATAAATGTCTAATTTAGTACTACATTCGTCACAACTTAAGGTTCCAATTGAAATAAGACACGACTATTTACGCAAAAATTAAATAAAGTAATTGTAGGTATATTTTGAAAAATAGTTTTGATGGGTATATAATATAATGAAGTCATTGAAGAAAACGGTAATGTTATAGATGTGTTATTTTTAATATTTGGTGATTAAATTATCATTTAAAAGTGTTAATTATTTTGTAAAATAGAAATGAAATCATTTAGATGAAACGTCTAAAAAAGACACATGGAAACCTTAAGTTGGGATGAGGCAGTATTTTGTTATTATTACGCAAAACTATGTTACAATGCAAATCTGTAATTGGAATAGGACAAACAATTAGTAGGAGAATAAGAGAGTAAAAAAGTTTCTGAAACAAGATTAAAAAGGAACGAGGCTGATTAAATAAAAAATTTGGTAAGTGAAGAGTTCATAAACAAAGAGTCATTATTTGTACTGAATTTAAGAAAAAATCTCAAATGAGTATATTGTGGTTAAGGGAAATACATAAGGAAAATACTTTTAAAAGTTAGAGTTTATTCAATTTCATTTTTCCTAAACATGCTTGTTGAGTTTTAGTCCCGTAGATCCGAAAGTCCAACATAACTTCGGATATTCAGGATCATAGATTCGGTATAAAAATGAATAAATATATAAAAGTGTATAAACTAGCTATTTTTACGTGGAAACCTGGAAAGGGAAAAAACCACGGGACTTTTTAGGCTAACGTCAGAGTCCGCTCTTTCTCATTATTCTGCTCTCCTCACCAATTACGTAATACAAATACCTTGGAGCTTCCATTGATGGAGCTTGAAATCAACTAATCTAAAGGGGATGGGGAGGAAACATTGTCCCCAGAGAGAAGAGGAAAAAGATCCCCTTTAAAGAAAAGCCTTCCTCCTATTTATAGGAAGGAGGGAAAAGCCCTCCCACACTAATGGGCCGAAAAGGCCTTATTGAGCCTAAACAATTCGTATTCGGGCCGGTTAGGCCGAAATGGGTCGGGTAGGCCTAAATGGGCCTTGCTGACCAGGCTTCATACCGGGTGATGACTTGGGCCTCTGAACAGTAGTGTGTCGGGATAATATTCCCCAACACAAGTCCCCCAGTTTCTTGAGTAGTGAGCCTGCAAATCTACTCGAGAAAGTATACTCTTGCTCACGTCCTTTCCTGCCATCCCTGAATCAGTCTTTGAATAATTTTGGGTGCAAAGCATGCATAATCCATAAGTGAGGTGCAATCCCGCACTAGACACGACGGCGTTGTAGAGCATGTCGCTCGTGTTGCATAATAAGTGACGCTCGCCATCCTAGATTAAGGAATCGACGAGCCTGATCAAAAAGAAGGCACGACGGCGCTGATGAGCCAGCCGTTCATGCTGCATAAAGCGGCGGTCGTCATCCTAGATCAAGGATGGACGAGCCCGACCGAGAGCCAGGCACGACGGTGTTGTGGAGCCCGTTCGTGCTGCATAAAAGCGGCGGTCCTCATCCTAGATCAAGGATGGACGAGCCCGACCGAGAATCAGGCACGACGGTGCTGTGGAGCCCGTTCGTGCTGCATAAGAGCGACGTTCGTTATCCTAGATTAAGGATGGACGAGCCCGACCGAGAATCAGGCACGACGGTGCTGTGGAGCCTGTTCGTGCTGCATAAGAGCGGCGATCGTTATCCTAGATCAAGGATGGACGAGCCCGACCGAGAATCAGGCACGACGGTGCTATGGAGCCCGTTCGTGCTGCATAAGAGCGGCGGTCGTCATCCTAGATCAAGGATGGACGAGCCCGACCGAGAATCAGGCACGACAGTGCTGTGGAGCCCGTTCGTGCTGCATAAGAGCAGCGGTCGTCATCCTAGATCAAGGATGGACGAGCTCGATCGAGAATCAGGCACGTCGGTGCTGTGGAGCCCGTCCGTGCTGCATAAGAGCGGCGGTCGTCATCCTAGATCAAGGATGGACGAGCCCGACCGAGAATCAGGCACGGCGATGCTGTGGAGCCCGTTCGTGCTGCATAAGAGCGGCAGGCGTCATCCTAGATCAAGGATGGACGAGCCCGATCGAGAATCAGGCACGTCGGTGCTGTGGAGCCCGTTCGTGCTGCATAAGAGCGGCGGTCGTCATCCTAGATCAAGGATGGACGAGCCCGACCGAGAATCAGGCACGACAGTGCTGTGGAGCCCGTTCGTGCTGCATAAGAGCAGCGGTCGTCATCCTAGATCAAGGATGGACGAGCTCGATCGAGAATCAGGCACGTCGGTGCTGTGGAGCCCGTTCGTGCTGCATAAGAGCGGCGATCGTCATCCTAGATCAAGGATGGACGAGCCCGACCGAGAATCAGGCACGACGGTGCTGTGGAGCCCGTTCGTGCTGCATAAAAAGTGGCCCTTGCCGTGATATGGACTTACGATGCTATGGTCATTGCCATGGTCCTTATATTGCCATAGTCTAAAGGAATGGACCTGACTCGACTCGACTTGACCTGGACATACATGGACTTGACTCGACTCGACTCGACAAACATGGACTTTACTCGATTCGACTCGGCAAACATGGACTCGACTCGACTGGCCATCCTCCAATCCCATAGTTCCAATGATCCAGGCCACCCATACTAAAGACAGAAAGCAGTTTCTGATGATCTGGCGCAGGTTGGCAGTTTTCAGTCTCTATCTTCCCCGATCAGGGATCATTCAGTAGCATAATCTCTTTCCCAAGTTGTATTACTCTTGATTTCTTTTGTACTTTCCGGCGAGTAGTGTTTGAAGAATAAAACTCGATTCTTTTGCCCAATCTTGTTACTTCATTGCTTTTTTTTTTCTTTTTGTATTTTTCAAACCCGAACTCCTAGTTCCTTCGTTTTTAGGGTTACCGGACGCGACTTGGATTCGTCCACACTCATAATTCTGACACCCTTCCCAAGCTGGTTTTGATCCCTCTGTTCGGTCATAAAGCTAGGGTCGACATATTTGGGCTGAAATATCTTCCTCCAAACCATTCGTCCTTCGGTCATCTACTGCGAATTCTGATTCTGCGGATGACAATCCAGGTTACCGAACATCATTCGTTTTTACCATATTTGTTCTGACACCTTTCCCAAGCCCGTTTTGATCCCTTTACCGTTCGTGATTCACGGGGTCAAAATTCTTTTAGCTGAGGTGAATTCCTCCAAGCCATTTTGATCGTGACCACAGGGTCAAACTCTCAGCTGGGACAGGGGCTCCCTCCAAACTGTTAACTCGTTCGTCATTCGGTCATCCGGAATGATCCCACGTGTTAACAAGCTGAGGTGAGACTATCTCCCTTCCAAATTTGTTCTGACACCTTTTCTAAGCCCGTTTTGATCCCTTTATCGTTTGTGATTCACGGGGTCAAAATTCTTTTAGCTGAGGTGAATTCCTCCAAGCCGTTTTGATCGTGACCACAAGGTCAAACTCTCAGCTGGGACAGGGGCTCCCTCCAAACTGTTAACCCGTTCGTCATTCGGTCATCCGGAATGATCCCACGTGTTAACAAGCTGAGGTGAGACTATCTCCCTTCCAAACCCATAATTCCGATGCATTCCGGACTATTCTCTCCGGCTCATATCATCCATATTAGGGGTCTGAGGTAACCCTTTTCAAACTGTAAGCAAGGTCACCGGATCGGGTCATTCCTTATTTATAGCTAAAAGGGCGACTCGCTTCCAAATCAAGTTAATGACTGAGGCGAGATTTTTCAAAAACATAGTTCCGATTCCCCGGACGACAATCCGTACCTTATCCGAACGTCGCTTGGTTCATCCATATCTTACAGTCTTGACACCATCTCAAAGCCGTTTTGATCCCTTTGCCCGTACGTAATTACAGGGTCGAATTTAGCTAAGTTGATGACTCAGCTCCCTCCAAACTGTTAAACCGTTCCTCATTCGGTCATCCAGAATGATTTTGCGTGTTAAAAAGCTGAGGTGAGAATCACTGACATCAAACTCCAGGCCATTTTGATCCCTTTAACAATGCGTAATTACAGGGTCAAACTCTATTAGCTGAGATAATGGCTCCCTCCAAACTGCTAACATGTTCCTCATTCGGTTGTCCAGAACGATTCCCATGTTAACCGCTGAGATGAGACTGTCTGATTGTCAAACTCCAAACCGTTGGCTGAGAATGACTTTCCTTCCATGTTATTAACCCGTTCATCATTCGGTCATCCGGAATGACTACGTGTTAACCATGGGCTGAGATTTTCTGAGCATCGATTCTTCAAGCCGTTTTGATCCCTTTATCCGTTCATAATTCTAGGGTCAAAACTCTCTTAGCTGAGAATGATTTTCCTTCCATGTTGTTAACCCGTTCGTCATTTGGTCATCCGGAATGACTGCGTGTTAACCATGGGCTGAGATTTTCTGAGCATCGATTCTCCAAGCCGTTTTGATCCCTTTATCCGTTCGCAAGTCTAGGATCAAATTCTTTTAGTTGAGAATGATTTTCCTTCCATGTTGTTAACCCGTTCGTCATTCGGTCATCCGGAATGACTGCGTGTTAACCATGGGCTGAGATTTTCTGAGCATCGATTCTCCAAGCCGTTTTGATCCCTTTATCCGTTCGCAAGTCTAGGGTCAAATTCTTTTAGCTGAGAATGATTTTCCTTCCATGTTGTTAACCCGTTCGTCATTCGGTCATCCGGAATGACTGCGTGTTAACCATGGGCTGAAATTTTCTGTGTTGCCGAACATCACTCGGCAACACAGAATTCTCGATCTTCATTTCTGAATCTCGATCCCCTTTTCTGAATCTCGATCTTCATTTCTTAATCTCGATCCCCTTTTCTGAATCTCGATCTTCATTTCTGAATCTCGATCCCCTTTTCTGAATCTCGATCTTCATTTCTGAATCTCGATCCCCTTTTCTGAATCTCGATCTTCATTTCTGTATCTCGATCTTCATTTCTGAATTCTCTATCCCCTTTTCTGAATCTCGATCTTCATTTCTGAATCTCGATCTTCATTTCTGAATCTCGATCCCCTTTTCTGAATCTCGATCTTCATTTCTGAATCTCGATCTTCATTTCTGAATCTCGATCCCCTTTTCTGAATCTCGATCTTCATTTCTGAATCTCGATCCCCTTTTCTGAATCTCGATCTTCATTTCTGAATCTCGATCCCCTTTTCTGAATCTCGATCTTCATTTCTGAACCTCGATCTTCATTTCTGAATCTCAATCCCCTTTTCTGAGTCTCGATCTTCTTTTCTGAATCTCGAACGGCTCCGAAAGGTATCTCGTAGGACTTTTCTTTCTTTCTTTTTTTTAATCATGAACGTCTCTGTGCTTCGTGATCTCCCCGTTCGAGCTGACCGAACGACTTTTCATGCTTGTACTTTCTTCATTTCCTTGTCGGTCATGAACGTCTTCGCGCTTCATGCCAACATTATGGATTTCCTAGCTCGAGCATATCGAACGGATTCCACTGCACAATAAGCATAGTAATACGGCCGCACGGCCGAACAAAATATACAAGTATATACACACACATGCATAATATTTATGATTACCGGCCGAAGTGGTCTAAGAATCGTTGGCCTAGATTCATTCTTCGCACTGCTCAGGTGCTATCAGAACCACTTAGTGGTTTGTCGAGCGTTTCCAAGAAAAGTTTTAACTAATCAAAATACGTACTTCGCCCCGTACTGGGTTCAACTGCCGTTCGAGCACTCAATGTCCAGCGGGACCATGAATGGTCTCAAAATTAAAATACATCACCGGGGACGCTTCAGCCAATTAATTTGGCCCGTTTGGGGGTGGACCGATGCACTTAGTCAAACCAAGCATTTCATTAAAATAATGGTAATTTTATCACTGGAGCTTCCTCGCTCGACACTATTTAATTTGGGAACATTTTATCCCTACTAAATAATGGTGATTCGACTAATTACACTTAATACTTTAATGTATTAGCACTCGATGCCTAGCAAGACTTCATCGTATAAAAACACATCGCCGGAGTGATACCCTATGGATGCACTCCGATCGCTCTATTACCCCGATCGTGGGTTGGTCGGTCGGCCCACTAAATCAATCATTTAATATAAAATGTTGATGATCTTGTCACTAGGGCTTAGAATTATTAAATTCGGGATATTTTAATCCCTGCTAAATAATGATGAAACAATCAAACGCAACAACAATACCATTTTTCCATTCCTTTCTCTCTTTTTTTCCTTTTTGAAATAGATCAGCAAGAGAGAAAATGATGGTACTTAGCTCGAATAGGCTGGCTTACAGCTGCCAAGCCAATTTGTTGGCCTGGAGACTTTAATTGGCCGATGGTGATCCAGCCCAGCAGTTGATCAAGTAGCTGCAATCCTACGGATTAGGCAGCCCATCAATCCGATGACATCCTAACTTGGCCCATGCCGCTGCTCCATCACTCACAAGTTGTCGCCCCTTAACTGAAGGCCCGTGTCAAAGCTTTTTTTCACAATTGGGAGGTCCAACACTGTAATCACAAGCTGCCGCCCACAAATGACCCGTACGGGAATCTGCTTCGGGAGAGGCATATGACCCGTTCGGTATTCTGCTTCGAATCTGCTTCCTTCCTGATTCATACTTCAATTCTACGGAGGAGGTGATTGCCTGTTCTCCCAGTTGAAAGCAAGCCGACAGCCCACCTTGACTACCGCAGGGCAAGACATGGGTACTGAGCGAGAGGATGCCGGACGGGCGGAAGGCGGGAGGCTGGTCGGTGTAACGAAGGTCGGTCTGGTGCCGGCCTGGTGGTCGGTTTGTCCCGTACGGGAACTTGCTCTGGTTATCCCAGGCCATCAACCGCCGATCTGGGAGATTCTGTATGAGATCGAGCGGCTTCTTCTGGCTGTCAGACCTTGGACCGAACAATGCGCATCAATTTCCCCGGTAAGGGTTTTGTCGGACAATTGAGCTTGATACTCTGTTACTTTAGGTCAGACTACCCGAACGGTGTTCTGCGGGCCGAAACGGCGTTTGAAATAGAAACCCAAGGCGTCCTGAGCTGGTTTGGTGTGCCAGTACTAAGCACGGATGTGGCCGGCTCGCGATCAGCATGCCTAGAGGTTGCCCTTTCGGAACCAATATGAGGTATGTATACCCTGCCTTCTCGGACCCTCCTCAGTGTACAGTATCCCGTTATGGGGGAGGATTATTGGGATCCTCTGACACTAGCGATGCTAAACCATGTTCCCAAAATTTTTACCTGCTCGGGAAAAGCAAGGGTGCGGGTAGCCTGGTGTAATTGTGTGTTCATCCGAAGTTACCCTGTCTGCCAGTTCTAAATTTGGGACATCCTTCTAGTTATTATGGTATTGAAGTTCTCGTTCAGGTTGGGTATCCCTTGGTGAGTCAGGAAAAGGTGTGGAACGGTGATGGATTGAACAGTGGGGTCGAACGACCTACTATTAGGCAGTTTGGTGTATTCCTTCCCCCGTTTGACGATGTCGTGCCAGATCGGGAATTGGTTCCATCAAAGGCCAAAACTCTGTGGTCGGATATCGTTCTTCCTAAATCGTTCTGTCCTGTTCTGGAATTTTTTACTAGTCAAGGACCTTGGTTGTGCCCTTTGTTTTGAGAATGTCTCCTTGTGGCTTCTTATGAATCCCTTATCATCCGGGCATGATAGATTTTCCTGTTGGAGTCCCCTTGATCCCGAGCAGGAGTATGGTTCTGCCACTCCCCTATTCACAGGCCTTTTCATCAGGCCGTTAAGAATTTAAGGGGTACCTACTGGTGGGCAGGCCATTTCAGTTGCTAAGTAAGGATTATGTCAAGCAAATCCAAGTTGTTCGAGCTTAGCTATGTTGAACCGGCGTTCATGGAGTTCCCGTTCGGGAAGCAGGCCCTGTTATTTTACTTTTGGATAAGGATGAATCTGTCACGTCACTGTGTTGTCAGGCCTCCATGTGACTAGGAAGTAATCCGTCCCTATTCTTACTGCAAGCTAGTGGGGACACGGCCCCACCCACCATTTTCTTGAATCATTAGTGTCTTAGAAAACAATAATTCTTTTTAGTCTCCTCCTTCGGCGCTGGCGTTTACTTCAGGACATGGGGGCAGCCACCTGAATGATGAGCAAGCTACTGGAGTCCTGGCCTTCTACCGTTCTTCTCCTGTTCTTGTGTTTTTCCAGAAACAATTTTCTCTCATTTTCTTCGTGGAATCAGTAGCCTTTATCAAATCATTTGTAGACTCAAGAACACGTGTAGCTTTTTGAACTTTTCCCACAGACGGCGCCAATGTTGAGTTTTAGTCTCGTAGATCCGAAAGTCCAACATAACTTCGGATATTCAGGATCTTAGATTCGGTATAAAAATGAATAAATATATAAAAGTGTATAAACTAGCTATTTTTACGTGGAAACCCGGAAATGGAGAAAACCACGGGACTTTTTAGGCTAACGTCCAAACCCGCTCTTTCTCATTGTTCTGCTCTCCTCACCAATTACATAATACAAATACCTTGGAGCTTCCATTGATGGAGCTTGAAATCAACTAATCTAAAGGGGATGGGGAGGAAACATTGTCCCCAGAGAGAAGAGGAAAAAGATCCCCTTTAAAGAAAAGTCCTCCTCCTATTTATAGGAAGGAGGGAAAAGCCCTCCCACACTAATGGGCCGAAAAGGCCTTATTGGGCCTAAACAATTCGTATTCGGGCCGGTTAGGCCGAAACGGGCCGGGTAGGCCTAAATGGGCCTTGCTGACCGGGCTTCATACCGGGTGATGACTAAGGCCTCTGAACAGTAGTGGGCCGGGATAATATTCCCCAACAAGGCTTTTAAATTTTAGAACTTGAATACACTTAAGAAAAAATTTAAACACAAAAACCCTCCACCAACTGTATCTTTAGATTTATTTTTTATATTTTATATGCAATATTGGTGTTATATGAAAGATGATTTATTATATATATATTGTGCGCAAATGATTTTTTCATTTATAAATTAAATAATTAGAGAAATTTTTTAAAAAGAGAGTTTTTTTATTTGGGTAAAATATTATTGATTTGCTAGCTTTTAGTTGCTAGCTTCATAACCTTCATTCCATGTTCCGCCGATTAAGAGAAAGTAAGCAAATGATTTGGCGGCTTTGTTAACCAGAGTTCATTCCAATAATATGTTGAGAAATACTTTTAACTTGATCCCAATTTCATAAATAATTTTTGTTTAACATTATTCTAGAAAAAACTCTTTAAATCCCATAGTGATTATTTACGTAAAAGTATCACACTTTAAAAAATATGACATTATATTTAAGTTGTTACTAAGACCTAAATAAGAGATCTACACTGCATTGTTAATCAACATTCAATTTATTACTCCGTATATGAATAGTTATACGCCACAATCAAATTTCTAAAAATCTCAAGTTTGAAGTGTAAATTGTACATATCGATCACACATAGAGAGCCCATTTGGTAACATTGAAATCGACTGAATCGGCTGTTTCTGCTGATATTTATGAAGTTCTGGTTGAAGTGGTTGTATTGGCTGATTCTGCTGATTTATGAAAAAATTATACATATAATATATTTTATTAATAAAATAAAGAAAAATATATATTAAAACATAGCTAAAATGATCTTCTACAGTAACTTCTGTCAATACAGTCAGAAAAGTAACTCCAACCTTACCTTTTCTTATTATTACACAATTCAGCGCGCGAAATGAAAAGTCACGTGTTTGGTGAAAAAGTTGGCTGATAAGCCCGATAAGCCAAAAAACAGGCTCACCAAACGAGCTCAGAGTATATTTTTTGTAAACAAAAAATTTCATCCATAAATTATATGATAATACATGTGTTCTAATATGAAGTAATTGTTTATGATAATAAACTCTTCCACAATTTTCAAATTTCATTCTCGTGTGCATCACACAGGTAGAATACTAGTTAAGTATAAAGGATTATATTAAACATAATAGAGTTTATTAGATAATATTATAAAATGGTTAGGTCCAGGTGGTCATTTTTTCAAATTTTAAGTCCCGTTCGGTTCCTAAGTTTATAAAGACCCGTCCCGCTCGAACCGTTTGCCTTTTCCAAAACTAGAACCCGACCCTAACGCGCTTCGAATTTGTATTACCCCGCCTGACAAGCGGATGCTGTACACGTTTGCCCATCCCTACCTGACCCACCCCTAATTTCAATTTGTTTAAATTATTAAGGTAAAAAAATGGTGTAAAACATTTTCTACAAACAACTCAAGTGTAATCCCTGAAATTGTAATCTACAAAAGTAATGTTAATACATATGTAGTACTACGTATTTTCTATGAACATTATGCGTGCTTCTTTAAAAATGTTAGTCCCACCGTTTCATTAGATTTCACTAAATTTTAGATTTGTGAAATATAAAAACTAAAATTAATTCCTTTAGTGTTGAAATTTTTCATGAGGCAACTAACAAAAGATATTTGACCAAACTTAATAATATTCTTATTTTTAAAAATTTTAAAAATTGTATCCTTAAGTTTGTTCCGTTTTACCTTTTTTCGTGCGTCCCATTAAATTGGTTTTGTACCATATTTGTTAATATTTGGATGATTATATATCAACCACACAATTCCACTTTCTATGAAATCTTGTGCCACTGTGCCACACCTTCTTGTCACAAACACAGTAGGATAGCAGTACATATACCATAGGAGCGGCCCACCATAGGCATCCTACTCCCGCGGCTAAATGACGCGGTTTTCATTTAAAAAAACGCGCAAGCACGCTAACCAACGGCAACTCCCTCTCTCTCCCACCTTTTCTCTCCAGGCTTTATTCTCGACTGCACTACGCCACTACTTACTTTTTGTCTTTACGAATTCCAAAACACCGTTCCCCAAGACTTCATTCTTCTCCAATATCAATCTCGGAACTCTTCTAAAAAAAAATTCACGAAACCATCTCTGCGAACCAGGCATGCGAAGTTCCATATCTCTGCGAACAAAAAACAGAAGCTAACTGAGGCATTAACACCATCCATAGCAAATTTATGAAGTTAACAACCTGATTCGAGATGGCTAGGGTTAACAGGAAATCAGTTACCAGGTATCAACTATATCACAAGATCTACAACGCCAGATAGATGATTAAACAATGCGATAGATTTTTTATTATCAAAATATGTTTATTTTGTTGTTATATATGTTATTGTTCTGTAAATATCGAAATGCATGTAACTTAGAATGTGTGAATAATGTAATCTTAGTTTCATTTTTTGCATCTGCGGAATCTGACAATATTATAAACGTTCATGTGGCTTTTGTAAAATTTATGTTATCAATTGTTATCAATATGTCATATGTATGTTATCAGTAGTAATATATATGGGAAAATATATTACTTATGAGTAATGTAACTTCTGTTAGCAGTTATGTAACTTGTGTATGTTAGTGTGTAACTCTTGTGCATTAGTATGACTGAAACCAAGTCCAGTGTACAATGATTAAATACTTGTGAGTAATGTAACTTCTATTAGCAGTTATGTAACTTGTGTATGTTAGTGTGTAACTCTTGTGCCATTAGTATGACTGCAACCAAGTCTAGTGTACAGTGATTAAATACTTGTGAGTAATGTAACTTCTGTTAGCAGTTATGTAACTTGTGTATGTTAGTGTGTGACTCTTGTGCATTAGTATGACTGAAACCAAGTCCAGTGTACAATGATTAAATACTTGTGAGTAATGTAACTTCTGTTAGCAGTTATGTAACTTGTGTATGTTAGTGTGTAACTCTTGTGCATTAGTATGACTGCAACCAAGTCCAGTGTACAATGATTAAATTCTTGTGAGTAATGTAACTTCTGTTAGCAGTTATGTAACTTGTGTATGTTAGTGTGTAACTCTTGTGCATTAGTATGACTGAAACCAAGTCCAGTGTACAATGATTAAATACTTGTGAGTAATGTAACTTCTGTTAGCAGTTATGTAACTTGTGTATGTTAGTGTGTAACTCTTGTGCATTAGTATGACTGAAACCAAGTCCAGTGTACAATGATTAAATATTTGTGAGTAATGTAACATCTGTTAGCAGTTATGTAACTTGTGTATGTTAGTGTGTAACTCTTGTGCATTAGTATGACTGAAACCAAGTCCAGTGTACAATGATTAAATACGTGTGGGTAATATAACTTCTGTTAGAAGTTATGTAACTTGTGTATGTTAGTGTGTAACTCTTGTGCATTAGTATGACCGCAACCAAGTCCAGTGTACGATGATTAAATACTTGTGAGTAATGTAACTTCTGTTAGAAATTATGTAACTTGTTTATAATAGTATTTAACTTATGTAAACCGTGTTGAATAACATGTCACTCAACTATAATTCTTAATATTATTTTGAATGACACTAGGAATACGAGAAGTGCTGAAGCTGCACAAAATGAGAATGCTCAAACAGAAAATCAAGAACCAATCCTATTGCTGGAATATCATAAACCAGAAACAACCAGAGCAGAAATAACCAGAAAAAGAAGAAAAAACTCAAAAGAAGAAAAGAGAGGCACCTGAACAGTCAGATGAAGATGAAGAGGAAGAAAGAAGCAAATGGTCAAGTTTAATCAACCTCAGAACAAGAGTTGAACCAGCTCCTTTCCTAAAGTTGATTAAACAGCTAGATGATAATAAAAATGAAGCAGTGAGAAGGATTGGCTTTGGAGGTTTACTACATCTAGGCTTTGAAAGATTTTATGGAGACTTTGTTCACTTTCTCTTGGAAAATTTCAGACCTATTTCAGGACAACTACAACTCACGAACGGTGAGTTGTTAAATATTGAAGATGAAGATGTTAAAGCTGTATTTGGATTGCCAATGGGGGCTATTGATGTTCAAGAAGCCAATGGCAAGAATGAAACTGAAGAATACAACAATTTGGTGAAGCAGTGGAGAGAAGAATGGGGAATTGATAAAGGAAGTCCTGAAACCACAAAGATGATTCAGAAAATGGTTGAGGATCAAGAGTGTGGAGATCGTTTCATCAGAAATTTTGTTGTCTTTACAGTGTCTTGACTGATCAGGGGCAACCAGAGTATCAGGAGCAATTTCAAAATATTGTTGTCTTTGGTGAAAGTTGAAGATATTAAGAATCTGAACTGGTGCAAGTACACAAGAAGGTCACTGATGGATGCTGGTGAAGAATGGCAGGCTCATCCATCAAGAATGTTTACTGGACTGTTGGTATTCCTAATGATTTGTTACTTTGACAGAGTACAATTCAAAGGACAAGTGTTGCAAACAGTTTACCCAACTCTAAGAATCTGGGACAAAGAGAAAATTGAAAAACGAGTTAAAAGATGAGAGAAAGTTAGGCTTTGGTTTGGGAAAGGTGATGCCAAGATTAATGCCAGTTGAAGTAGAAGAAGATATTGAAGAGAGAGAAGAAGAAAAAGATGAACAAACCGAAGATGATGAAATGCTGACAAAGGAGGTAACGTTTCATTTAACGCTATTTGTGATTGAAGAGTAAACATGATGTAACAATGTGTGTAAAACAATACAACTTGTATGATTCAAAATGCAACCTTACGTAGTGTGAATTGTGCACCATACACTTACAATTCCAATACAATGTAAACTACAACTCTAAAAAATGTAACTCGTTTCATTAAAAATATAAGCTCTACCAATTAAAAATGTAAACCGAAATGCTTGTTTATCTAATATATTTTTAATTATTATAGGACTGTGTGAAGGAGATTGTAGCAGTGGCACAGAAATTCATGAAGCTTTCATTGAATTCTCAAAGCTGCCATCAACAATCTCAAAAAAGTTCCCAAACTCTGATATCTTGAAGAATATTTACCTCACAACAGCAGACTACTTCATTCGCCAAGCTAATGGCAAAGAAAAGGAAGCTGAGAAAGAAAGATTGGCAGAGATGTGCACTCTTGAGGAAGATGATGATTTCTTCAATGAACTTGGGGTCATGGAAGCCCTAGAAAAACTTGAACAAGCAGCATTTCTGAAATTCTCAATGCCATCATTCGATCATGGAATTGAGTTTAGCATGTCTCAACCTCAAAAAGATGCTGAGATGGTTGTTGAGACTGAAAAAGATGTGAATGAAGAAGAAGTGTTGGTAGAGGCTGGTGGACATGTAGCAGAGGATGTTGCACATGTAGCACAAGAAGCTGAAGAAGATGAAGAAGATAATCAACCTTTGGCAAAGAGGCTGAAGGTAAAAACAACAACTGAGAAGCAATGGAATTTCAGATCACCGTATATGATGCGGAACAGAAGACTATGCAAGGAGATGAGCAAGGAAGAAAAGATTGTCATAGACTATGGCTTCTCAAAGGAAGTTGGAAAGTAAGAAATGATTTTCTTATTCATGTGAATAAAATGTAACTACAATAGTACAAAAATGTAGCCTCACATTATATTAGAAGTAAATAGTATTCACGAGATTCGAATTTGATGTATAATAATCAGTGTTATTGTGTTAGTGAGTTGCTTTATCAAGACGGTGAAGAAATGTTCGTCTACCATGAGGAGTTCCAGACCCTGGAAGAAGACATGGTGGACAACTCAATAATAGATAATTGGGTTAAACTGCTGAATGACAGAGAACCCAAGAACAATCTTCCAAAACGTGCACTGATTTGTTCTACCATGGTCTATGTATGTAAAGTAAAATAATTTTTCTAGAAATTTCATAAAATAAAATAAGTTACATCTTTTTACGTAAAGTTATTGAGTATTTAGCTTAGAATCTTTGTTATCATTGTTTACATTTGATAGTATATTAAGTCGCATCATCTAATAAAAGATTTACACATATTTATGCGTGAGTGACATCTTTTTGAATCAATGTAAATATGCAGGCACAGTTCCTGCTAGGGTATAGTGACCCAAAAGAAAAAATGTTAGAAAGGTTTGAAGAAGAAATCAAGCAAGCAGGAGGGAACATCAGAAACTTTGATATGGTAAAATGTCACTATTACTCACAAAAAATCATTGAATAACAAATAATAAACTCATGAATGCTTTTTTTGAATGGCAGATCTTGTTTACGATTAATAAACATGAACATTACTATGTGTACTGCTTCTACTTGACAAAAAACGTAGTTGATGTCATAAACAACAAGATCCTTGAAGAAGGAGTCCAATTTGAAGACAAATATGGAAAGAGTTTTAAACAAATGGTAAATAGATGTTTATGTAATGTCAGTAATGTGTTTTTAGTCTATTAATATATCTTTTGAAATAGGTGGAAGGGTTTACTGCATATTGCAAAAAAGTCAGACACAATGCTGAAAAGATGGCAAACTGGAATCCAAGAGTGCTGGATATGCCATGGCGATATAATGGTAACCATGTAGACTGTGCCATATCTGTGATGTGCCATATGCAAATATATCGAGGCCAGGGAGACAATTGGGATTCTGGTTTTCCCAATGCTGCTACAGATGATGGAGTCAAAGCTCAAAATGATATTCTGCAAAAGCTCAGACTTCAGTATGCAGCAGAATTCCTATTATCGAAGTTCAACTCTGAAAGGAAAAATGTTATTGAAAATGCAAAAAAAATCATCAATATGTAAAGTGATGTAATTGTGGAGGAATTTGTAAACATTTGCTGGTTTTATGGGAGGGGATGGGTGATGGGTATGAAAACATTTGATGGTTTTATGTGAGGGGATGAGTGATGGTCGTTATTTGAGGGGATATGTGATGGATATGAAAACAATTAATGGTTTTATGTAAAGTCTATTAGTCCTTATTAGTTAATCATTGAAGTCTATTATGACAACATATTATGTGATGTAAACTGATCAGCAACTTCTGATAATGGATGATTTGTGGATTTACATGAGTAATGTATGAAATTACATCTTTTTTGTACTGAAGTTACATCTTTTTACGTAAAGTTATTGAGTATTTAGCTTAGGATCTTTGTTATCATTGTTTACATTTGATAGTGAAGTAAGTCACGTCATCTAATAAAAGATTTACACATATTTATGCGTCAGTTACATCTTTCTGGTCGCGAGTTACATTTTGCATACACCTAAGTTAAATTTTCCCATCAACACCAGTTACATAGCAGAATAAAACCTAGCTATTGAAACAAAATGTAAATAAAATGCTCAAATAATGGAAGGCAATCACACATTTACTGTAACTGGAGGCAGAAGTAAATGTAACTCAAGCCGCAATTTTATTACATAATTGCACTAAGTAATTACAAACCAAATGTAAACTGTGTAAGTCATAATCATAAACTGTGGAAGAGAAAATGTAACTTATAGAAACAAACACAACAGTGTTCAATCACATTGCCTCATGGCTTAAACATAAAATAACTTGGGAAAATATCTAACCAAAATGAAAAATATATAGAAACTACTTCAACATCAACTAAATGTGTAGTTGATTCACAACATTTGATTGCACAAAGTATGGCGCGAAAACTTGTGGAGATCCAAAAAAAGCATCAAAGAAGTGATTCCCCCAACTGGATGAGCAAGATAGCCATGTGGAACCATGCAATTAACAGTATCCTGAGATTAAAAAAAAGAGAAGAACACCAGTATGAGAAAATGTAGATTAAATATAAAAAACTTAAAAGAAAAATCATATTTACCTGTACAACAGATTGGGCAACTAGTTTGGAATTACTGGCAACATTTTGGGATTTGGACCTACGAGCTTTGACTATTTTACACTGTTTTTCAACAGTGCTTTTCTTTCGTGTATTTCGCCGACCTTTAGGACGAGAGCGTGGAGGATCCAATATTGTCCTTGAAGCAGATTCATCTACAACAGAAGCATTTCGTTGAATATCTAAAAAATGTTTAATAGACTCGTATCCTTGCTCACATACTCGCCTAGCTTCAGGAAAACCAGCACTTGCACCCAATACTGTGTTGAATTTCCTAGTCATTTGCACTCTCCAAACAGAATCTTCTTATATTTTCCCAAACATAATATCGGTTCCTTGCGTAAGAGAAAGATTATCATTTGGCAGAATGACAGCCTTTGTCCATCTAGACAATATATAAACTTGGGGAATACATTTTACACAATGGACATTATATATACGCAAAATGTGTCTACACAAAATGCCAACTTCTGAAAACATCTTGCAAGTGCATGTCACTGTGTTGTCATTTTGATTAAAAGTAACGTTGTGTCTAATCAAATCTACCCCATTCAACCAAACATGATACTCATAATCATTACAATTATGTGAGATTAATTAAAAAAAATGTGACATACCCTTCAAATATTGTTCTTGGAACAGTTTGAAAATCTCAAGGGTATACACATCTCTAGCATGAGACAACAAACTGTCTTGTAGCAATACCATCTCAACGGTGCCTTCAGAACAACTAAAATCATGATCATTTTTCTCTAACCTCCATTCATCAACAACATCACAAAACATTTTGAAAAAAACACATAATGTTGTAGTCTTTGTAAGTCTTCTAGATATGGATCTATTTGTAGATTCACTTCTTTGGGAGGATAGAACACCACCAGAGAATTAATCCTTTGAAAAAGCAGGACACCACTTTTCTTTATGACTGTACAACCTCTTCAACCATGTGTTGTCACTGCATTCATAAACTCTATTCAATCTGGAACAGATTTAAAAAGAAGACAAGATTACGTATGAAAACCATATATGTTACACCAAATAATTGAGAAAGTTACATCAAATAATTAAGAAGTTACATCAAAAAACAAATAACTTACTCATTCCAGTAGAAATCAAACTCTGCAACTATGCCACATTGCTTCACAACATAATCAAACAGAGGAACAAAATTTAACTTCTTGCGTAGATGCATGATGTGTTTCTTTGAATTTTCATCTATATGCCAAGTGCAGAGTCTATGTCTTGCTCCAGGAAACACAGATTTGATAGCCGCTACAATGGAAAATGACTGGTCTGTCATGAAACTGATGGGGTGTTTACCACCCATAGATTTCAGAAAAGTCTGAAATAACCAAACAAAAGACTCCACCTTTTCGTTCAGCATAAAGCCACAACCAAACATTATGTTTTTACAGTGCTGATTCATGCCAATAAACGGACCACAGATCATGTCATACTTGTTAGTCCTGTAAGTTGTATCATGCACAACTAGATCTCCAAACCATTCATAATTGGATCTCATTTGACCGTCTCTCTCGAAAAAACAACTCAGTACACCGTCATCCAGCTCAAAATCAAAGAAAAAATCAGATTCCACTCCAGCCCTTTTCTTCAATATACCAATCAAAGTGTTCGAATCAGTACCACCAAACGTTTTACTTCTTTCAGATTCTAGAACGTTATAAGCATCACGTTTCATGAATCCAAGAGCACTCACACCACCAGCCTGTTTTTGAAGCATCCTGTGAACATCTGAAACCTTTGTTCCACTCTCCTTCATCAACATAATAAACTCAAGATACTCACGATCAATGCCTCTATGTGATTTCGGTAGGTGTCTTTGACCAATTGAACAAAAAGCATGGTTGTGATCAATAATATGCTTTGAAACAGTCCATTCACCATCAATACTAATAGAAAACCGTAACTTCGTTTTACAATCAGAACGATAATCTAACTTCGTATACATTTTGTTTTCAGTACCCTTTTGTTGTTTCTTCCCTTCTTTCCAACAACGGTAAGACTTCATAATCAAACTTACATTGCCACTCCTAAACCTCTGTTTGTATCTACGAATACCAAATCCATTTTCAAAAACATGATCATTGTGAAGATTATAAGCTTCCTGTTCACACTTGACACTAAGACCAATAAGTGATTTACTCTCAGTTAACTGATGATCAGTTTCCAATGAACCTGACAATTTTCAAAGCATATATATGAAAAACAAACAACAACTACATACATTGGAACTACTTTACATTAAATTGAACTGAAGTTACAAATCATGTAACACAAGTTACATAAAATTGAGATACGAGTTAAATACTATTGAAGTTACATGACAGAATAAGTACCTCTGCTAAGAAGATATAACAATTTAGAAGCTTTTGAAACAATATCTTCTTCTTGTCCTGAATGTAAAATCAGCAAATATGAATACTCATACAATCCAAATTCTCAAGCAATCGCATAAAACAGAGAACAAAAGATATTAGACAATACTGCAAGCACAAATAAACGAAATTCACACAACATGAAACATTAATACTTCCCGATCAATTTAACATCAATCATTTGATCAACTTCGAAATCATTGTCACCAATTGAATGAATGATGTTATCGTGTGTATCAGAAGAAAAAGTATCTCGCAATCCAATTGAAGAATCAACAAGAACAGAATCATCGACAGAAAAATCTATTGAAGAAGCCTAGAAAACTTATCGAAGAGATGACAGAGTAAGGAGAAAAATCCATTAATGTTAAGCTGCAGAAATCTTCAGTCGATTAATGTCAATATGCAACCTAATTTTTTAATAAAGCGAACGACGACGTTTTGGGATCAGGCACACCATCCTCATGGTGCGCCGATCCGAGGATATAAATTGCGGTAGGATAGAGGTAGTAATAAAATGAGAGATTATTAAACAGTCACTTCACGAGATTTGTTCGGCCGATGTGAGGACGTGGTTCGTAACAAAACAAAACAGAAAGCGAATTGTCAAACTATTTTCATAACTGAAAAATTATTTTCAGATTTCTTTGGGCCCAAGAAATCTCGATTGTGCAGATCTAGCCCAATTGCCAAGTCATTACAATTAATTGCCAGCCGTGTCTGAAAACAGAACAGCCATCAGCTTCTTCCCCAAGTCAAAAGGTTAGCTCTCGCCACTACTGAAATGCAAAATGACGCATGTACCCTTCTAGATTATCGTAATCTATCGCTCATATTTGCCGACCAAACGGATATGCCTAGACCCATATTTGTCAGTCCCCCTGCATCTCTCTGCGGGTCTATATATTTGGAGGCGGCAACCAGCGGTCCTTTTCGGAAGTTCTCGAGAGTTGAATCTCTAATTCTCAGTTCTCACAGAGCTTCTCATAGATCTTCTGTACAAAAAGGCTCAAGTTTGTGTTTTGATTTTTTTGTTTTTGTTTTTTGAATTTTGCTCTCGAACTCAGCTATGGCTTCTGTATCGAAGAGGTTGAGGGTATCGAGCACCAAAGCTCTGGTTTCTGGTAAGGAGAAGGTCGGAGCTGTTTCTCGCGTTGTAGATAACAACAAGATAGCCGTTACAGTTCCGGTTTCCGTTCCTAGAATGAAGCCGACGCCTGGTATGGGGCTGTCATTTTCCCCTGCATGTGTCTGCCGCCAAGGGCAGCTTTTGTTTCAGAATTACTCGAATTTCAAACGGAGCGGTGAACCGGCCCGGCTCATGCGATACGCGGACGGTTCTTGGGTGGATATAGAGACTGGTGTGTTCGAGGTGGTCAAAGCGGAGTTTGTGAAAGGCATATCGCTGGTCGAAGCTGAGATTGGAGGCTCTCAGTGTCTTCTTGACTTGCACCGGATGATCGAAATCAATCTCGACACCGGGGATTTCCGATCGATTGCTTGGATTGATGTGAAAGGTGCGTGTTTTTTCCCGAAATCCTCTTTCAGTTGCCTTAGTGGTGAAAACGATTCGGTTGATTTGGATGAGAAATCGAAGGATGAATGGTGCCCATGTTTTGTTCGCCCGAAACTTGAAATTGAGATTCAAATTACTGGACATATGCAAACGGCGGCGGAGGATTTGAATGATGATGCGAGGAAACTAAGTAAGAGAAAGAGAGTGAATGATGATGACGGGAGTTCATCCAAGTTTCAGGAGAAAGGTGAAGACATGGAAGAGAGTGAGTTTGTTTCACCTAGGTGGCCGAAAACGAGGATGCTGAGTGAGAAGGAGAAAGGGTATCAGATAGTAAGGAATTTGTTTGCTCAAGGGTTGGCGGCTGTGGAGCCAGGTGCTTCGATCGCTGCCATTCATCGTGTTCGAAGAGGAGGTTTCGTCGAGAAAGCTCAGCGTGAAGCCTTCCAGAAGCAGGTCAGTGTGATGAAAGAAGCAAGAGGCAACGCTAATGTGGTTTTGGCTTGGTTTGGAACTACAGCAAAGGGTGTGGAGAGTTTTATGAGTCATGGATTTGGAACACCCGTAAAAGGAGCTCCTTGCGCTGGTTTATACTTGTCACCTGCTCGATCACCTAGAATGAGGTATCTCATCTCTGCATATTTAGAATTTTAGTCTTATGTTATATATTTGTTTTTTTTTTGTATTTCATTCCTTTGAGCTGCCTTTTTAGTGCAATGATGGCTCAAGTAGATGAGAATGGTGAAAAACATATCATTTTGTGTCGAGTTATATTGGGAAAATGTGAGAAGATAGAAGCAGGGTCTTTGGATTTGAGCCATTCAAGAGTGGATTTTGACACCGGGGTGGATGATCTGAAAGAGCCACAATGGTATGGAGTGTTTGGCCCCAATATGAACAGCCGTGTGATTCCCGAGTTTGTTCTTAGCTACAGACCTGCTAAGGGTATTCGTGGTAACGTCTTGCTTTCTCTTCATTTGTTACTTTCATTGAATATGAGTAGAGCAACACTACAGGTATAGGAAATTAACTTCCGAAATTGATTTTATAGGTCAAGTAACTGATGTGTGTGGATTTTATGTGAAGCTGATTTCCAAGCTGAGAAGTACTCTTCCTCCAACAAAGGTGCATGAACTGCAAACTTTGTATAATCTATGGAAGGTAATGATAGCTGTTTATTATTACAGATTCAGTCAAGGATATCTTAGAACTATACATCAAGTGGAGTTAATAATGGTTGACATACTTTCATTGTTTGTGTGCAATTGTTTTTGACGTTTTGCAGGATGGTAAACTTGGAAAAGATGGCTTCATGAGAGAACTAGGATCAGTCATTGGTGATGAAGTGCTTCGCTCGACTATTCAGGAAATTCGTGGCTGAGAATGAGGTTTTCCTTTGTAGATTGTAGTTGGAAGGACATTAAAAATGTGAACAAAAAATCTTATACTAGAGTTAGAGAGGCAAGCCTCAAAATTAGAGTCTAGCTTTTGAACTCAATAGGTTTTTTATATATACTTTTGTTGTAGTAGCGACAGACTTCCTTGTTTTTCTTTGTTGTGTTGAAACAGTTGAACTTTAATTTTACTCATTTGGAACTTGTGATATAATTTTACTATCCCTGTCTGGTTTTGGAATAAAGAGATAAGTCACTTGGCAAAATGCTTGTGACTTGTATGCATTCTGTAACAGAATGTGTACCCCTATATGGGGCAACATATCATTAGTGTAAAACTGTAAATTAGATAAATGGTATCATAACTATAGCGCTACGAGTGTTGTAATAGTTCGGTACCCAACTCTAAAGATGGTCATTGAAAAAGGTACCTAGTACTTTTCCGTTCACTTTTATCTTATGTGACACCCTATAATACTCCCACATATCTTCCCTAACACCTATGAAGCACGGAAACTCATGTTTCTGTTTGGAAACTTCATGGAAACTTTTTAAAAACTTTCCAATTAGAAGAGAAGTTTCCCATTTTTCATTTCCCCATGTTTCTCACGTTTCATGCAACATAGCCTAACAAATTGACTAATGATGTATTACTAATTTTCTTTTGAACCAAGTTCTACATCCTTGGTTATAATTTTTCTTAGATGTTCTTCCATTTGAGGTGGATATTGTGTTATAAGCGGCATGGCTTGTGAAGGTGGTTTAGGGTATTGCATATGATATTAATGCATGTGAAAAAACAAGTATTATGGACAGTTCCATTTTTGGATACCAAATTGTTACCAAAACACTACAATACGTATAGTTAATGTACCACTTGTATACCTACTCACGCCATTACACTATTACTGGGTTAAGGAAAAAAGGCAAAATAGGAAATTGCAAATTTTGTGATACAGGTGTTGATCATTGGAGTGCTTAATGATCTTCTATATTAGAACTAAATGTGTTGAGATTCTTAATTTATATTATGCATCTTAAAAGGAGTGAGTGTTTATGGCCAATAAGTTACTATAACTGCATTCTTATATTCAATTTGTATTCTTTATAAGAAGTAACAGCTCCTTCAAGATCTGATGCTTTGATAACAAAATCACTTCCTTATGTTCACGGGTGTTTATTTTATTGCAGTGTTTTGAAATATTTCCGGATAAGCTTCTTTCTTTTTCTGTAGAGTTCTACTTCTTGCTGTTCATGCTTAGGATCATGATTGGTTAATGAGGGGTTTGATAAGATCATAGAACTGTGTTATTGTATCTTCATATTTATGACTTTCATTAGATATGTTGTGCTACACTTATTTAATTGAATTTAATATAGTTGTCCATCAGAGGACACCTATTTGCAATAGCATCAATACCTGCATTAGAAGCTAAAAGATGTTTAAGTTATTATGCTCTGTGTCAGAGATGTTGAGTTGTTGATCCATATAAAACAAAACGAAGGACTCAAGGGAGAGTTAGGATGTTTTTACTTGGACTGTAATTTGCTGGTCTGGTCTGGTTTCTTTGTATTTTTATAACTATCCAAGTCTGGTCTGAACTGGGCTGGTCTGATCTGGTCTGGGACGAATTACAGTCCAAGTAAAAACATCCTTAATACGGAAATAGGTCCTGAATTTGGTTAGAAACTGATGAAACAGAATGTTCTCCAGGTAGAAGATGCTTTACCTTTTTGTTCTCTTTTCAGCTTCCACATTCTCTGCATGCTTTAGGAGCATATTGGACTGACGTTACAGCCAAAAGGATGGTCATGACGTTACAGATCGTGTTAAAATTTCAAAGACCAGGGACAGATTATTTTCTTATTTTGTTCTTCATTTCATGGTCATGAGATTTATTTTCTTATTATAGTTATACATAAAAAAACATTAGATGTGTATTATATTGAACAAAAATTAGGTAGGTTGGTGGGGAGGCAACCACCCTCAGCCCCCCTCACTCAGTTTATTCAGATTTTCTCCTCAGCTTGGTGAAGCACAACTAGTATTGTTTGTTTCCATCATAATGCAGAACCTGTGAAACCAGGCTGGTAGATGGCAAGTTCAGAAGCTTTTTTGATATCTCATGCTGAAGAATGAAAAGAAAATTTAAGTGGGAGTTCTTTGAACGCTGGGCAAAGGTGGTTCTTCTGGGTGCCAAGCCTGGTTCTTCGTAGTATCTTTCTCTTACTATTCCCATTCTTTTGGCTGGATTGACAAAAGTCAGCTAATACAAGTTTGGGTTCATTCTTTTCTGGGCGCCAGGTCTGCTTTCAAGCCTGGCTTCATTCATTTCTCTTACAAGTTTGGTCTGAATCTGTGCTCATTGACGCTCTTCCAATTGGCCTGTGATAGTAGTGATGATCTTAAGTTCCTTTAAAAGCTACAGGTTGTCGATTAAAAACTCTTTAGTGCTACTTTTGATTTTTTTAAAAGTGCTTCACTAATATGCCGCATTACCTGTATTCAGCCACTATCTTCAATTATATTCTCTAAATATAAATAATTAGATCCTTATTACTCCATATTATTATTTTAACCTGTCTATATTGTATTCTCTTGTATCTCAATGTATTTAACATTTAAACGAGCAAGTGTAATTTTGATTTGCTCTTGTATATGAACAAGATACTTAGTGCACTTTGCATAACTAGATACTTGGTGCACTTTGGTCTTGTATATGAACAAGAGCAAAGTAGATCTCTACAATTCTATAAACATGAATAATGTTGATGGGTATAACAGGCATAGAAAAAGTGTTGGTGTCTCCGTGTGCATTAGACTTTTGTACGAAATGCATAGTTTACTTCACCCCTAAATCACATGGCAAGCAGAGGAGTGAACGGAAGCCTTCCGTTTACACACGATTGAATGTATCATCCCACAGACTCGCAATTGAGAACCCTAATTCAAATTGTTATCTATGGCCTGCATATCTTAATCGTCTTCCACACTGATGTAAATATAGTTTCAATCTTCAGATAGTTCTGAAAATGGCCGCTAGGATCTCGAAATCCCCTTCCATTCCTCTTGCCATCAGACTCCTCTCCCCTAACCGCACACCATTATTGTCCCGACCTTTATGCACTGTGGCCGAGACCCGGAAAGTTGAGCGCATCGCCGATGAGCTTCTAGACCTCACCAAGCTCGAAACTACGATTACGACATCCTTTTCCGGCACAAAATGGGCCTCAACCAGTACAGACCCGCAGTGTCTGGCCCGGCCTCATATGGCTCCGCTGGGCCCGCGGCGGCTGAAACCAAGGCTGCAGAAGAGACCGTGTTCGATCTAAAGCTGGAGAAGTTCGACACAACGGCTAAGATCAAGGTCATTAAGGAGATAAGAGCTTTTACAATTTGGGTTTAAAGGAAGCGAAGGAGCTGGTCGAGAAAGCTCCGGTGATGGTGAAGAATGGGCTCAGTAAAGAAGAAGGTACTGCCATTATCGACAAGCTTAAGGAATTAGGTGCTAATGCGGTACTGGAATTTGTCACCCATTTTCTTGCCTCTTATGTACTTTCTGCTCCCAGATGAAGTTAAGCTTGATCTGCTTCAACTACACGTGTGTCTTGTTTTGCTTTATTTAGATTGCATGGCTCTAATAATTAGCCATTGTTTTTTACAGCTGATTATGACAGGTGTGGCAGTTGTAGTTGTTGATACACTTGGGAGAAGACCTCTTCTACTTGGAGGCATCTCTGGAATTGTACATTCTCTTTATTTCAAAAGTATCTGATTTTCACTAAACTGCACTTCACATATTTCATATGTTTAACTTATTTTATTATTATTGTTTTTGTAAAAAAGAAAACATTTTCGGAAAGAAAAATGGTTAAAAGAAATTAATTTATTTTCTTTGGTTCATGAGTTCATCTTGAAAATGTGAATGAAAATAGAATGCGATGAAAGTTCTCTGAACGCTCTCCCATTATTTATATTTTCCGTCTTTACATCTTGAAAACGTATACATAAGTTCATGGAAGAAGTGCTGCTGCTGCACTGATTGCTTTGCGCATGGCAGGTGAAAGGGCACCTATAAATGCTATACTGGTTAGTGTGCCTATTGGAAAAAATAAAAACGAGACATTTTTTTTGTATTTGATAATGACTTTCTCTTATGATTTCAGGTTAAGAGTTGCTTCACCACGGGTGCAGCTTCACGATCGTTCACTTCTACAAGTTATGATCCTGTCACGAAAATGAACACAAATATGTCAAAGTTGAGAAAACCCCCAAAGGAAAGGTTATGTTCGGCTGCCTGCAACACATGGTGATTTGAACATTGAGCTGCACTGTGATTTAACACCAAGAACGTCTGAGAACTTCATCACTTTGTGTGAACGTGGTTATTATAATGGACTGGCTTTTCACAGAAGCATTCAGTACCTTTGCCTTTCTTTTGTTTGAAATACTCACCGAATAAACCGGATTAATCAGTATTTTCTGCTTTGATATTGAAGAACATGCGCCGTCAATTTCGTGCAGGAATTTCATGATTCAAGGTGGTGATCCTACGGGAACGGGAAATTGACAGCACTTCTTACCCGTTAATTTCTTGATCCTATGACCTCTGGTTAGTAGGAGCTTGTGTTATTTCTTACCTGCACTTCTTACACTTCTCTGTTTTGAGCCTCTCCTTCTTTTACTTTTTGTACATCAAGTAGAAAATCAGTAGGTCACTCACCTTTGTTCTTTTTCATCATTTTCTTCTGTAGGAAGATATCAAGATTATTGATGTAGAAGTCTATGTCAATCCATATACAGAATCTGATGAAGAAGAAGATGGAGAGCCAACGGATTCGAACAAAATTGAGGATGAGGACAATGTTAGTTCGTAACATGATTATCATTTCTCTTTAACCCTGTCAGGTCTAAACTATTTATTAATCAATACTTGTTAAGTTTGTTAATCCCCTCTCTGTTCTAAATATAAAAATTGTTTGTTGTTCATGACACAAGACAATGGACTTTCCTGCTGCATTTTTCAGGATAAGGTTGGGTCATGGTATAGCAATCCTGGGACTGGAAGTCTGGAACAGACAGTCAAGCAAGCAATTGGAGGTGGTGTTGGGAAATACTTAAAGAAGAGAAAATTTGGGGTCTCCACAGAGTTTAAAAATTTCTCGAGTTGGTAACGATTGTCCAAGAGATTGGATAATTCAGAATGGCTTGCTTAGATCAGCCTA